GAGGGGGAAGGTGGGTCTTGGGGTGGAGGCTCTGAAGGGATGGGGGCTGTCAGGAATTAGGAAATGGGAATTGTGAGAAGTAGGGGATGGATGGGTTATCACGATTGGGAATTGGGGGCTTTCAGGGAAGATTTGAGAATGGGGGCCCAGAGGGGGATGGTCCTTGTTAGGACTGGGGGAGAGAGGCTCTGAGAACAGGGAGCTCTGAGGAAGGACTGTGGACTGGGGATTTCAAGGTGGTGGGGACTCGGAGAGGACAGTATGGGCTTTCAGAACTGAGGGAGCTTAGCCCAGTGCCTGGCAGATAGTAATAATAAATATTATTTAGTAATGTTTTTAATTTAGTAATATTTGTAAATTAGTAATACATAGTAATAATAAATAATAAATTATGCATTTATTGCACGGGAAGATAGGGTTCTGAGGAATGATGGAGGGTGGGGCTTCTGAATGAAGATTGAGAGATAGGGGGTTCTGATGGGGTGGGGGGGGTCTCAAGGAGGGCTGGGGGTTTGGGGACTCTGTAGCATCATGAGGCTGGGGTGGGGGGGATGGGGGCCCTTGGGGAGGCTGGTTGGCCCTTGGAGGATTGAGGGGACTGAGGTCTCAGAATGAGGATGAAGGATACTGAGGGAAAATTGGGGAAAAGGGGGACTAACTATTCCAGAGCAAAGGGAATTGGGCCCCTGCGAGGAAAGAAGGTTGAGGAGCTCCAGGCTCAATATTTGCTCTCTGATTCTGTCTGAAGAGTATGTGGTGCTGCCAGCTTGGAGGAGGCCTGCGCTCCTGGGGAGAGGGGAGGAGGAGAACTGTCCAGCAGGCGTGGGAGTGGGAAGATCTGTCTGGCCAGCTCTGGGCTACTCAGCTGAGACAGCTTCTGGCTCATTGTTTTTTTTTTATCTTTGGGTGTTACTGAGTGTTTTCTGGAGAGAACTGGTACTCACAGAACTGCTTTCTCTCCCTATGACCAATTTCCCTCAGTGCATCTTTTGATTTCTCTCTTCTTTCCCTACCAGCCTCCCCTGCCCACTTCCTTTTCCTATTTTCCCCTCATCTTCAAACTCCCCCCTGCTCCCCTACACACTGGACCAGGCTCGGCTAATTCGATTGCAAGGTCACTGTGTGGGGGAGGACAGCCTCCTATCATGCTCACGTCAGCAGAGATGTCACATCTCCCACTAGCCCCTGTGGTTTTTATTGTGAGATAAAACCCCAGCGAGGAAGCATGTTCATTGAGGGCTGAAGTGACATAACTAATTGAAAGGCTTCTTGACTCTAAATGTGTATTTAAGCAGCTTGCTTGATGATTCAGGACCTCTGGTATCGTGAGTGTCTCTAGAGCTTCTGATCTTTCTGAAGGGGATGGAAGCAGGAACCAGGGGCTTTTGAGATTAGTAGATGTGGTTGAAACAGGGGAAGACTCTGAGTGTGCAGTTTGTAATAAGAAATTGTGTGGGTTAAAGGCATTACTCACGGTGTTGGACTCTTAGGGGAGCAGTCCTAGCAAAGACCTGACTGTCTCTCTTACCCATTTTAACCAAAGCTAATGACTGGTAGTAGAATTCGAATTGTGAGATAGGATCTGGCCCCAAGGCTCCTGTATTGGTCAGCTCTTAATTTAGGCCACAAAGAGATACTTCCAGAGTAATTGTTATTGTTCTTCTTAGTAATCTTGGGAGACTAAGGGGCAGCCATGACAAATATCTATTATGAAATGGCTCTCCATGAGAAGGACAGGTCCACTATAGACATGCTTGTTGCCTGGAGAACTGGTAGAAGAAGCAACGAGTGAGATCTCTGAGATTTCCCCAAGGCACAGCTTGCTGAGTGAGACTCCACGTAAACAGGCTTCATAGCTCAGCATTGAGCTCTGGTCCTGCAGATTTGCTTGTGCTCTAAGTGATCATTTTATCCTCTTTCTCCCAAGGCATTTTTTGGCCTTTATAATTTTTCAAAGAAGGGATTTTTTTTTTTTACCACCTCTCCCAGCCTGTTTCTTTCCTACCTTTTTTCTCTGTGCCGTTTCCCAGTTGGGCTTGCTGATCTGAGTTCAGTTCTGTAGTGTTACCCTACCCTCTGCAGTATACTGATGCCTGTATAAGAGGCAAGGGGACAAAGGGGCTGACTGAATCGATAGCCGGGTTGCTGATGGCTGGAGGGAGGCATATGGAGCAGTCACGGCCTTGGTTTTGATTGTGCAGTGGAAAGGCATTGATGATAAGATCCAGACTGGGGGAATGTGGATGCTGAAGGTAGGTGGGTCAAAGGATAGGCTAGCTATGAGTGGTATAATAAGGAAAAGAGAGAAGCTCCTAGGTCCAGGGAGGATGTATGATCATGGGCCCTGGGCCACCCCAGCTCAGCTTGAGCCATTTGGTCACCAAGGAGGGGAGGGGCTTTGACTGCACTATAAATAGTGCTGGGAGCTAGAGTTGCTATGGAGACAGAACTGAATCCTATTACCTGTAGGTCCTACTATCCTGTGTTTGTTGAGGGATAAGAGGAATGCCAGAAGAAGCCTGTGGGTTGGGTGCATGAGGAGATAGGCTAAATCATGTATGTTGTTTTGTAGGGGAGAACTGGTTGTTGACTGTACCAACAAGGCCCTAAGCGTATAGTAAGTTTACATGTCTATCAGTCTGTGTGCATATATGCAAGCAATTATGTGTGTGTGTGTGTGTGTGTGTGTATGTATATAATAAATGGGGCTCTCACCGATGTGTGTAATGAACAGGGCCCTGTGTATTTACTGTAGGCACATCTAGAACTCTGGCACATTGTAAACCAGCCCTGGGAGGGATTGTGGAGAGAGATGAAGGAGTTGGTTGGCATTATTCTCACTTAAGACTTCTTAAGCCTTTCCTAACTTTGGACACATAGCTTAGTAATTCACCAAGCCTCCCTTCTCCTCCCCACTTCCCACTTCCCACTTCCCACTTCCCACTTCTAGGGGGTAGCAGATATACTACTGAGTATTCCTGCTTTCATTTCCTAATATTGACAACATATAGTAGAGGGGAAAGATCCCATGATCTCCTTTGCTCTCTGCTATTCTTGACTTCAATACTGGGTCCACTGGAGAAAATTCAGCACCAAGGGCAGAACTCTTGGCTGTGGCTCCTTCACCCTGGAGCAAGGGGAGGGGAGGCAAAAGGAGCACAGAGATTTTGATTTTTAAGCTCTCAAGTTATAACACTATTTATGTTGTAACAGTTACTGCTGCTAGCTCACCTAAATTAGGTATACAGTCTTTATAATAGTCCGAATCAAGATGAATTCAGAACAGTGGTGAAAATAGAAGGTGGTTTGGTTTTGATCTAGTCCTAGGAGTCAATGATTAGGCAGGCTTAAGGGTCTAGTTTGATTCAGAAACCCATTGAAATGGACCTAAAATCCCATGGCTGCCCTGAAAGTGACCTTGTTTTTCTTAATCAGGAAGACAGAGGATCAGACTGGACCTGCTGTGAAAAAAATCACTCCCCTCGCCCCAGGTGGGGCCAAAAATAAACTAGCTGGGGGGGGGGGAGTATAATTTGTCCTTCTGCATTATGTTTGACTCATTCTCAGCTCACAAGCCAAAATGGAGTGCCAGGCTGAGAGAGTGTTCTTTCCTCCATCCCTGATTCTGCTGAGTTAGAGGACATGGTGACTTGTTCTCTGATGCCCCTATCTAAGGATGATGTTAGGGGAGTGAGGGGAGGGCTAATCACCTAAGCACAGCAATGGAGCTTCTCACTACCTTTCTTCCTTTAGATTGCCATCATCAGCTATTTCCAGAATTCTCTCTGATTCCCAGTCAGATGCTCTGAAGTTTCTCTGAGATGAGCAGGTGATTTGGAATCATGGTGCAGAAGAAGAAGATTTGCCCTCGGTTACTCGACTACCTAGTGATCATTGGGGCCAGGTAACGATGTAGGGGTTGGTTTTCTAGACTTCAGACTCCCCTCTGCCCCTTCCTCCTTAAAAACATTCTGTTGAAGTGGTGTGGTTTTTACGTTGCTGTCACTTCCCCATGACCCTCCCCCCATTCTCCCCTCACACTCCCATCCAGACTAGAAAGCAAAGAACAAAGAGATACAGTTAAGCCAATCAGATTAATACAATGCCTGTGCCCATTCCCTCTGGGCAAGCTCGAAGGCCTGGTAGTTTCTACATTCCCTGCTAAAGTTGAGTTGCATCTCAGTTTTACTGTGCTCTTTCAACCTGGTAAGGAAACTCAGGCAGATAAAGAAAGAACTGACAGGCTGGGAGTAAGAGTATTGGTACATAGAAACAGATCCTAGCACAGGGGTTCTTCGCCTGAGATAAAGAACGTGTGAACTTGTTTTTATAATATTTTGATAACTATGTTTCAATATAATTGGTTGCCCTTATAATCTTATGTATTTCATTGTATACATTTAAAAACATTATTCTAAGAAGTGGCCCATTGGCTTCACCAGACTTCCAGAGAGGTCATGACACAAAAAAGGTGAAGAAGCCCTGTCCTAGTAGCTTCGTGTTTCAGGGCAAGTCACTTTATTTTTTCATATTTCCATTTCCTTATCCTTCAAGAGGAAAATGATAGTTTGTGCTCTATCCATATCTCTGACCGATCTTTTTGTAATTCATGAACGAGCAACGCAATCTTGCACCACGAGCTTGTCAAGCACAACTGTGTTAACTTCCTACGTTTCCTGTTGGATTCAGTGTCTCTGGTGAGGTTAGGGTCTGATAAACGTGGATCCTCTAGCACTAGGGACCCCATTTAGCCAAGCCGTTATCTGGGACCACGGAGCACCCAAAATCTAGGTCTGTGGGTCTAAAATAGAAGCATGAGTTAATTTATTGATGCATAGCAACAGGACTAGTAGCTGGCATTTCTGCAGCTCTTTAAGGCTTGCAGAGTGCTTTACAGATGGGACTTCCTTTGATCCTTGTAACAGTCTTGTGAGATAGGTGCTCCAAGTGTTATGGTCACCATTTTACAGATGAGGAAACAGAAGTTCAGTTACGTGCCCATCTAGAAAGCATTGGAAGTGGGATTTAAACCCATATCTTCATGACTCTAAGCCTGACGCCAGACCCACTAGGCCACACTGCCTCTGCTGCTTTGTGATGACTGAAATTAAGCAGGCCCTTTGGTCCCTGTGTCCCTGATGGGTGACTGGGCTGGTTTTATGTCCCTCAGGCAACCAAGCAGTGACAGTGTGGCCCAGACCCCGGAGCTGCTTCGGCGCTACCCCTTGGAGGACTACCCTGAATTCCCCCTCCCTCCAGATGTGGTGTTCTTCTGTCAGCCTGAGGGATGTCTGAGTGTGCGGCAGCGGCGCATGAGCCTGCGGGATGACACCTCCTTTGTCTTCACCCTCACTGACAAGGACACTGGAGTTACTCGCTATGGCATCTGTGTCAACTTCTACCGCTCCTTCCAGAAGCGGATGCCCAAGGAAAAGGTGGATGGTGGTGCAGGGCACCGAGCAAAGGAAGCTGCCAAGGCCACTCCCACTCCAGAGGAGGCAAATGCAGAGAAGTCAGAGAGTGGTCCTTCCTTGCAGCCCCCCAGTGCTGACTCAACCCCTGACGGGAGCCAGTCTCCCCGGGGCAAGCGCCGGCCTAAGGGGGGGAGCCGCTCCCGCAACAGCACCCTGACATCCCTGTGTGTGCTCAGCCATTACCCTTTCTTCACGACTTTCCGAGAGTGTCTATATACCCTCAAGCGTTTGGTGGACTGCTGCAGCGAGCGACTACTTGGCAAGAAACTGGCCATCCCCCGAGGGGTACAGAGGTACAAGGGTACCATTGACCTGATCATCTGATCCCAAGAGGAGAAGAGGGGATGTGGTTGGGGCTTTACTACAGCTGATGACTAAAGGGTGTGAGGGCCTGGCATTCTCTCTTTTGGAAAGGCACTAAGTCCCTCTTGATCTGGTTGAGTCTGGGGTCAGAGGCTAGTCCAGGCAAATCTAGCCTCCTATGTATGGGGCTCCTTGTTAAGCAGAAGAGTTTTAGAGAGTTGGGCTCTCTACAGCATTCCCATTTGGAAAAGAGACAATGAAGTTTATGTTCATGATGGGCAGTAGAGCAGACCCTACCCTCCCTATGTGTTGTCATTCCTTCTTAACCTGCTTCTTCCTGTGGTCAGATCATGACTGAGTCCAGTGTGAGGCTGTTCTTACCATTTCTTCCATTTTAGTGTCAGATCTTCTCTCCTTTGGGTGCTTGGGGTTGCAATGGAATAGTCAGTCAATCCCCATTTATTAAGCACCTACTATGTGCCAGGCTAAGCACTAGAGATACAAAGGAAGGCAAAAGATAGTCCTTGCTCTCCAGGAGCCCTGATGGTTAGTGGCTTTTTTCTGCTGGTTATGTCTCAGGGACACCATGTGGCGTATTTTCACGGGTTCACTCCTGGTAGAAGAGAAATCCAGTGCCCTTCTGCATGACCTTCGTGAGATTGAAGCCTGGATCTATCGATTGTTGCGCTCTCCAGTGCCCATATCTGGCCAGAAGAGAGTGGACATCGAAGTTCTACCCCAGGAGCTACAGCCTGCTCTGACTTTTGCCCTCCCTGACCCATCTCGATTCTCTCTGGTGGATTTCCCTTTGCATCTGCCCTTGGAACTTCTGGGTGTAGATGCCTGTCTGCAGGTGTTGTCTTGCATCTTGCTGGAGCACAAGGTAAGAGGGCCATTCTCCTGGGGAAGAGGGGCTCCGAGAGAGAGAGAGAAAGAGATGGACTAAGGACTCTGGCATTCCCATTTGCCATAGAGTACATTGACCTAATCTTCTGGAGAGAAAGATCATTAAATCTCTTTGATGGAGTTGCTCTAGCATTGGAGGAATAGGGACGAGGTTATTGAGGCAAAGGGATGTGTTGGAAAAAAATTACTGACGTCACAGGGAAGAGTCAGGAAAACTTTCTGGGCGTTGGGAGGAGTGTGATGAAAAAGAAGCCTAATTTGGGGGCTGGTGGCAGGTGCCTCCTCGATTGTGTGCTGAAGTGTGGGTCGTCCTTGGATGGCTTTGTGGCAGGTGGTGTTACAGTCCCGGGACTACAATGCACTCTCCATGTCAGTGATGGCATTTGTGGCAATGATCTACCCCCTAGAGTACATGTTTCCTGTTATCCCATTGCTCCCTACCTGCATGGCGTCTGCAGAGCAGGTGAGTCTCATTGTGACTTTTGGCTCTTTCACCCCTATTGTCCCGTCCCTGGCTCTAAGGGAGAAAGGCCCAAAGGACAGGAAGGTTGTGGAGGCAGTGTTACCTTCTCTGATAAAATTCTGTCTTGGTGGATAGGATCGATTGGGTTGGAGTGTGCTGTCTGTGCTTCATTCTTTGTGTTCCACCCATAGCTGCTTTTGGCTCCTACCCCTTACATCATTGGGGTCCCTGCCAGCTTCTTCCTCTACAAACTGGACTTCAAGATGCCAGATGATGTATGGCTGGTGGATCTGGACAGCAATCGGGTGAGATGCATGGCTGGGGATGGTGGGATTATCTACGGTGGAGCTCTACTTTTTGTCTTCAGCCTGCGCCCGAGCTAGTCTTTGCGGGTGCTTCTGTAGTTGAACGAGGAAAAAAGTATTGCTTCTACTTTATTAGCTAGCAGGAGAGTGGTACAAATGAAGGGCTCTTAGCTTTGTCCTAAAGGGTGCAATCATACAATTTCCCCCCAGAATTAGGTGCTTTTCCCACATCCTTTGACAGCTGTCAGGCAATGGTGACTGGGAGGGAGTCCAAATATAGTCTTAGATCACAGGGTTTAAAACTGGACATCCAACCTCCTAATTATATAGGTGAGGAAATGGGCCTAGAGAGGGGAAGAGGCTTTTCTAACATCACATAGGTAGATATCGGCAGTTGTCTCATGGCTTACCTTGGGGGCTGGAACCAGTAGACATCTAGACTGTGGGAGGAAACTTCTCCATCAATATTCTGTCTAGCCTCAGTGGGTTCTCATTGTGGCTGGTGACCTCAGTTTAGGCATCCAGGCCTGTGTACAGTTTAGTGCAACAAACATTTATTCAGGATCTTTTTTGTGTAGAGCTAGGCTCTTATTAGTATGAATAATGAATTCCCCAAAGTGGTTGCATGTGTTTGAATTCTCACTACCCAAAGTTACAGTTATATAAAATATGATCATTTTTCTGGCCCAGTGAAAATATTCAGTACAAATTCAAATAATATGACCATTTGAGGGGCATTGATTCCTTGCACTAATCAGGACTTAGCTGTATGACGTTGGGCTCTGCTTTAGGAGAGATAACAGAGTTTAGACAAAACACAGGCTACCCCTCTGGATCTTATAGTCTAGCCACATACACAGATGACTATGAAACATCGACATATATAAGCACACTATAGAGGTGAAAAACAAAGGGGGAAATGTCACTTCAGAATGTGGGCATCAGAGAAGGCTTCGTGGAAGAGGTGGTCTTTGAGTTAAGCTTTAAAGAACGAGTAGGAAGAATTCAATAGATGAAGAGAAGTGATACCAGCTAACATTGTATGTAATGTTTTACAAAGCATTTTGGCTTACGTCTGTCATCTCATTTGATCTTTAAAATCAACCTGGTGAAGTGGGTATTATTCTGCCCATTTTCCAGATGAGGAAACTAAGACTCAGAGGTGAAGTGGCCTGCTCATGGTCACCTACCTAGTCACTGTCAGTGTAAGGATTTGAACCCAGATGTTTTGGTCCCAGACGTCAGACTCTGTTTGCTAGTTGATCTTTTGGTGAGGTGCTTCTAAAAGAAGCTTCTGACACATCCTAAAACAGTCACTGTGCTTTGCCTGCTATAGGTGATTGCACCAACCAATGCAGAGGTGTTGCCTGTCCTGCCAGAGCCCGAATCCTTAGAACTGAAAAAGCACTTGAAACAGGTGAGTGGAGGAAGGGAAAGGGGCAGCTACGGGTGCTCCAGTACGGGACAGATCTCTAGGAAACAACCTCACACCTTAATTCGGGAAGTCAGGATCATCTCAAATACAGCTTCTCTCAGCTTCCTGTGCATACCCTGCCCTGTCTAGTCTAATATGCCCCTTACACCTTATGAGCAATCTGTCTGTCCTTGTTTTTCTGCTGTTTGCATGGTGTTGGAACTGTTGGCGACTCAAAGAATGTGTGGGTCTGGAATTTGACTCAGTACACTTTATGGGGTCTTTTCTCATATTTCCTCTTAAACCCCAGGTCTCTGTAGTATCTTTCCTTCCGAAATCCCTTTCTTGGTTTGGTCCATTCCATCCATTTTTCATTGGTTTCTGTTCTTCCTCCTTCCACACGCTGCATGCAGTACTTGAAGGTAACATGTGTGAATTCCCTGTCTTGGGCTTTGTTGTGCTTGTCCTCAGGGGCCATCCCCTGGAGGCTGTGCTTCTCACTCAGCACTTCATAACTCCCCTCCCCTCTCTTGTGTTATCTGAGGCATTCGGTGGTAGCTCTTAGTGATAGCGGTGTCGTTTTAAATGGGTCACCCTGTGTCCTCCATTGCTTTCCCCGTTTTTCCTGCTGGTGATGTTACATGATCTGCCCTTTGCTGCAGGGCCTGGTGAGGGTGAGTGCAAGTCATCCACTGTAGTTTTCTCCTGATATTTCTTCACCACTAGTGATTTTTTAGCAGGCATCATGAGGAAGAAGTGAAGAAAGACAGATAGGAAAAGAAATATGTTCAAATGTTGATGGAATCCAGAACTAGACTTATCCCTCTGGGGCTCATTGGTTTTGAGTCTGTGAGATTTCAACTTTGGTGACTATGGATGACTTGATTAAGAATCCTTGTGCCCTTAGGAAGAGGTATCTATATAACTGGGATTATCTTTCATGCACTCAGGCATTTTGATCCATATTTCAGAACAGAGATCTTTGGGATAGTTGGGTCACAGATGTATGGTTTATAATTTATGAGGACAGTTCTTCTTCACAAGCCTCCACTAGCTCAGGCTAGAGTGAAAGACAGAGGCCCTGACACTGAAGAGACCCTCTCCCAGGAGACAACTGCTTATTTCCCAGGATTCTGTCTTTCTTGGTAAAATGCCTCTTATTCTACAGGCGCTGGCCAGTATGAGTCTGAACACCCAGCCTATCCTCAACCTGGAGAAGTTCCATGAGGGCCAGGAGATCCCACTACTCTTGGGAAGGCCATCCAGTGATTTGCAGTCCACACCTTCCACTGAATTCAATCCCCTCATCTATGGCAATGATGTGGATTCAGTGGACGTGGCTACCAGGTGAGATCAAGCATGCCTGTATGATGAGGAGTTCTCCTTGGTGCTCTGGACAGGCTTGGAGCCTGGGTACTTCTCTTCTGTTGAGTCTTTAAATGTGTAGAATTGGGATTATAATATTGGCTTTTATCTGCCCACTTTAAAGTTTCTGATTGCTAAGATAGGAGGAAGTAATAAAAAAAAAAAAAGAAATGGTTTGGAGTAGCAGAAAGCTTATCACACTTAGAAACCTTTTAGGTACATCCAAGCACTTATTAAAGGCCTACTACGTGCCAGACGTTGTGCTGGGTGCCGAGGGCACAAATATAAAACATGGCACCATTCCTGCTGTCAAGAAGATCTTATCCTGAGGGAGACACAGCATAGCCTCCGATAAGCATGATGCCAGGTAGGGAGCAAGTGGGGCAAAGGGGCTATTCAGATTAGACATAGTGTCCTGGACTGTCTGAGGAGAGAGAAAAGACTGTCAGCTGGAATTAGTAGAAGGAGGTAGGTATGGAGGAGGTAGCACCAGGGCTGAGTCTTGGATGATGATGAGGATTTTTTTTTTCCAATGGCCCTTTTTTTATTAATTTATTTTAATTTATCAACAATCACTTCCATTAGCTTTTGAGTTTTAAATTTTTCACCCCCTCCCTCACCGCCTCCCTCCCCAAGATGGATCGAAATCTGATATAGGCTATACATATACATTCCTATTAAACATATTTTCACATTAGTGATGTTGTAAGGAAGAATTAAAAACAATAGGAGGAACCACAAGAAAGAGAAAACAAAACACAACAGAAGAAAAAATAGCAAATAGTATACTTTCATCTGCCTTCAAACTCCATAGTTCTTTCTTTGGATATGGATAGCATTTTCCATCATGAGATGATGAAGATACTTAAAGGTGGAGGTGAGGTACATTCCAGGCAAGTAGAGGTGAGCATGGTCTGTGTGATGGGATGAGGTAGAAGCTGGCATATTCCAGTTTGAGTGAAAGGGAGTAATGTGAGAAAGATTGGGAAGCTAGCTTGGGGGCCAGATTGGGCTAAAGGATTTTACCCTGGATGCAGCAGGGAGCCCCTGAAAGTTTTTGATCAGGAGAGTGACAGGGTTAAACCTGGGTCTTAAGATGATTTTGGCAGCTATGTGGAGTTTTCATTTATAGAGAGAATGCCAACACTTCTCATAGAGTATCCACTTTTCAACTCACTTTTCTTAGACTGTCCTCTCACTGGGTATTGGACGAGGCTCTCTCATTTACAGTACCAGCAGATAAATTAATGGTTGTAGATTGTCTAAAAACTAAGACTTTTAGCATTGCTTGTCCCCTTTTGTACCACTCTGTGACCACTACTGAAGAAGAGGGAAGGGGATGCTTAAGCCTGAGGGATAGGCTCATTATAAAGGAAGTAAAAGGGAATTGCAGCTAAATGGGAGACTGACCCATCTACTCTCCTTGGAGAAGCCAGTAAAGGAATTGGCCAAGTTGATTTTGTCATGAGTTCCAAAGCAATGAGAGACATCATTTTGGGGAAATTTGGTCACTGAGTGCTTGTGGTAAATCATTGCAAAAAACCACCATGAAAATAATTGAAGCTTCTAGGGGAGGACAGCATATGTATGTGTATGTGTGTGTGCGCGCACGCGCATATATAGGCATGTGTATGTATACATGTATGTATATGCATACACATACACATACATGTTATATATATGTATGTATACATACATGTTGTGTGTGTGTTTGGGAGTAAGGAACAAGAGAAACCAAAGACTTGTAGATTACGTAGAAGCCTCACACCTATACATCATGAGTACTTTCTTCCAGAAACTAATTGTGGGAAGAGGGGCGGCTAGGCGGCGCAGTAGATAGAGCACTAGCCCTGGAGTCAGGAGAACCTGAGTTCAAATCCAGACTCAAACTAGCTATGTGACCTTGGGCAAGTTACTTAACCCTGATTGCCTTTTAAAAAAAGGCGCATTAAACATTTTAAATACAAAAAAAAAAGAACATTTTCATACATCAGAATATACAAAGAGGATTCTAAATGCAGCTGAATCTGAGGATTTATTCTCAAGCTATCTGGAGGAAAGCTACCCAAATCTCAAACATTACCTTCAAAAGAGGGTAAGGACAGCTAGGAGTTCAGGGCCTGGAGTCAGGAAGACTCATCTTCCTGAGTTCAAATCTGACCTCAGACACTTACTAGCTGTGTGACTCTGGGCAAGTCACTTCACTTGTTTGCTTCGGTTTCTTCATCTGTAAAATGATCTGGAGAAGGAAATGGCCAACCACTCCAGTAACTTTGCCAAGAAAAAGCCAAAAGAAGGTGTCATGAAGAGTCAGACACAGTTAGAAAATAACTAAAACACCAACACCAACAACGTCTATCAAAAGAAAAATAAGTGAATATAGTAACTGCTGCCCTGTGTGCCTCCTTTTACCATCCATAACATCTTTATAAGAGTAATCTGCATGCGTGTTGAGGGAATCTTTGATGAGTTTATCCAAAGGGAATAGGCAGGTTTTCATCAGTGATATTCCATGGTAGACCATGATAGACCTTTACCATAACATAATTGCAGGACAGATATGATCCTACTGTATTTATTGATTATAAGAAGGCATTTCATTTGGTAAAGCAAAATTCCACCTTTTAAAAGGCTCTTCTCCAACAGGATGTTTCCCACATGTATGTCAGGATTATATAAGATTCCTTGAAAGACATATCAGAGAACGTGGCTGACTTTCCTTTGGTCGTTAATATCAGACACATGCTCACCAGAGATGAATTTCCCTCCTCTGAAGGAGGCATCTAGCATAGGGTTCAAGGTAAGAGGACTTCCCTATAGATGGTGAAGTCTGTCAGATGCTCCTGTTTGGGGACAACATTGTTCTGATTGCATCAGGTGCTGGAAGCTACTCCAGCAAGTCCGGCCTAAGGTCTTACCCAGGAAAAATCAAGGGTATAAAGAGTGGCTTTTATCCTACAGGTGGGGAACCTGTGGCCTGGAGGCCACAGGGGGCCCTCTAGGTCCTCGAGTGTGGCCCCCTGACTGAATCCAAACTTCACAGAACAAATCCCCTTCATAAAAGGCTTTGTTCTGCACAACTTGGACTCGGTCAAAAGGCCACCCCCAAGGACCTAGAAGTCGACTTGTGGCCTCGAGGCCTCAGGTTCCCCACCCTTGATCCAGACTATGATATATACCAATGACAGACAACTTGTTAAGTTCCATTGGTATATTTATCTTGGACAGACCTGGCAAATGGATGTTATCAAAATATTATCCTGAGGCACACACGGGCTGAAACAAAGACCGGTCTTTTAAATACCAACATTTTTCTAGACCCTGTGTTGGGAGAGATTGAAGGCAAAAGGAAAAGGGGATGGCAAAGGATGAGATGGATGTACGGTATCATGGAAACAATAAATATAAACTTGGACGGACTTCAAGAAATAGTGGAGGATAGAAAGGCCTGGTGGGCTCCATGGGGTCACAAAGAGTTGGACACAACTGAATGATGGAGAAACAAAATTTTTTCTAATGTTGTGTGACCATGAGTCTTGAAATGCTATAGTTTTTAAAGAATGAAAAAAAAGGACCCAGAGGACAATAGAGAGGAACGTGATGGGTAAGAGAAGGCTCTAACACATTACAAACCAGTAATTACAAAGGTGAAAGGAAATAAAGGATGTATTTCAAAGAAATGTATGAGCAAAAAAGATGTTGGGTTGGTCACCTGGAAAGCTCAAGAGATGACAGATAGGCTTTGATCCTTAGGATATTAACAGAAATTGAGGAAGGCCCCAGGACATTGAGTGGACTCTCTGTAACACACTTATAAGAGGATATGGACAAGAATGACCACAATGGGCATGTATGGATGGGCTATGGCATGCACTGGTGGAAGAATTGCCTATATCAGTGATGTCACAGATATATTTGAATATCTAACTGACACATGAATTAAATGTAGTATTAAGAATGGAAACAAAGAGACCAATTAGAGGCTTTTACAGTATTCCAAGCAAAAGATGATAAAGACCTGAACCTGACACGAATGGTGGCCTAGTCTGAATAGAAAAGAGACAGATGCTAGATTTTTAGATAGAACCAACAGGAATTAGTTGCCGATTGATTCTTCCCTCTTTTTCATCCCCGAATCCAAAGAAGATTCTGAGATTTCAAACCAGTGACTTGAAGAATGTCAACATTCATCAACAAAAATAGGGATGTTTGGAAAAGGGTAGGTTTAGGAAGAAAGAAGAATTTCCTTTGTTACATGTTAAATTGAGTGGAATTGAAGATGCTGGTGCAAATATCTCAGTAACATGCAGCAGATAGGTGAGGATGTTGGACTGGAATTAAGGGGAGAAATTAGTTCTGTGTGTGTGTGTGTGTGTGTGTGTGTGTGTGTGTGTACATGTATATGTTTGGGAGTCATCTGCATAGTGGTACCAATTAAACCCGTGAACGTGGAGTGTGGAACCCAAGGTCGAGAGTATAGAGAACAGATCCTTGTTTAAGGAACGGGAGATAGACGATTAACCAGCAAAGGCAACTGAGGAGAAGACAGACAGGTAGGAGGAAGTTGAGGGGAGGGCATTGTCACAGGAGCCGTGGGAGGAAAGAGTATCTGGAAAAGCATGTTGAAAGTTATAGAAATGCAAGGAGGATGAAGTTTAAGAAAAAGCCATTGGAGTCAGCAATCTGGAACCGATTGGAAACCTTCAAGAGAGCAATGCCTGTAGAGTGATGATGGTGGAACCACGATTTCAAGGGACTGAAGAGTGAGTGGATGGTGAGGAGGTACAGGCAGTGAGTACAAATGACTGTTGGCATGAAAAGGATGAGATACAGGAGAATAGCTTCAGAGGATGAGGGGGTCAGAAAGTGGTTTTTTTTAAGAACAGTATAAACCTGAACCTGTTTTAGGGTGTGACTGTCATGGCTCATTCCCCTTCACCACTGGTTGTACCTAAATGGTGGCCTTAGGGGATTGTCTACAACTTTGGAGTCTGAGGGTTATCCCTCAGATAACCCCACCACTATCTTTCTCTTCAGGGTGGCCATGGTGAGATTCTTCAACTCCCCCAATGTGCTTCAGGGTTTCCAGATGCACACACGCACTCTGCGTCTCTTCCCTCGACCTGTGGTAGCTTTCCAGGCTGGCTCTTTTCTGGCCTCCCGTCCCCGACAGACCCCCTTTGCTGAGAAATTGGCCAGGACCCAAGCCGTGGAGTACTTCGGCGAATGGATCCTCAACCCCACCAACTATGCTTTCCAGCGAATCCACAACAGTGAGTCCAGCTGCCCTTTCATCTTTGCACCCTTCCCTTTTTGTTTTTCTTTCCTCTTCCTTTCTTTTGCCTTACTTATGCCCTGCCTTGTTCCTCATTGTTCGTTACTTTCCTCTCTTGTCCTGTCTGCTGCCAGCTCTTACTAATCATATTTCTGGGCAGACATGTTTGATCCAGCCTTGATTGGCGACAAGCCAAAGTGGTATGCACACCAACTGCAGCCGATCTATTACCGCGTCTATGACACTAACTCCCAGCTGGCTGAGGCACTGAGTGTGCCGCCGGAGCATGACTCTGACTCTGACCCGACTGATGACAGGTGAGTAATGCCTGATGGAAAGTGAAGTCTTGTGGCCTTAGGGAACAGACTTCTGTCCTTCACCCAGTGTCCCATGATGGTCTTTAGGACCCTAGGCTGAATTTTGGTTGCTTTTTCATTTTCCTCTGTGCCAGTGGCCTGGCCCTGGGCCAGGAGGTCATGTCACCCTTCTTTCTTGCCTGCATCTTGAACTGTTAGTGTGGCTTTTCTCTGTCCAACCCTACATCCCCCACTAACAACTTTCTCTTGGGCTTATCACTCTTAACTTGGCAGTGGCAGTGATAGTGTGGATTATGATGACTCAAGTTCTTCCTATTCATCCCTTGGTGATTTTGTTAGTGAAATGATGAAATGCGATATCAACGGTGACACACCCAGTAAGTGCCTTATGGGATGGGCAAGCTCTGGGCAGAGTGTGGGGCACTGGATGGGAGGATCTATGCCTTCTCACCCCTGGAATCTTTGTAGATGTGGATCTGCTAACCCACGCAGCCCTGGGGGATGCCAGTGAGGTGGCATTTGATGAGCTGCAGGGAAACCAAGGCGATTTGGATGAGCCTGGCCCAGACAGTGAGAATTCCCAGGACAACCCCCAGCCTCGTTCCAGCTCCAGCACCACTGCTAGCAGCAGCCCCAGCACCATCATTCATGGAGCCAACCCTGTGCGTAGGGCTTTGGAAGGGAAGAAGGGTGGCAGCTATTGTCTAGGATTTGGGCCCCTTCTTGTGGGAAAATGACATTCCCTAGTTCCTTCCTCAGCACTAGATTGGACATTTTACTTATCCCTCTTCTCCCTGTGTAAGTGGGTACTGCAGCTTAAAGCCTGCTCCTACCAAAAGCAATTTTCCTTCTAGGTAGATGTTGGCAGGCTGCTTTTAAGTCTGACTGAAGCCCCCTTTCCACAGATCTTTGGGGAAGAAGTGTAGTTAGGGTGGGGATGTCATAGAGACCTTTTTCCATAAGTGTTAACTGTCAAAGCCCTGAGATTAGGAACCTGGATGGGCCTGGCTTCATTCCTGGTGAGGTGGGAATGCAAGAAGGCTTAGTCAGACTCCACTGACCAGAGCCTGTGTCCTGTGTCCTGCAGGAGTCTGCTGATTTTGCAGAGGTGGATGATAAGGCAGCAACGGGATTCTCCAACCCCCTCCGTGCTTTGCCCCCCAGTTTTGGCAAATTAAGCCTGGCTAAGCGTGAGACAGAGAGTGGGGCCCCCCCAGAGGGATTGGGGCGCAGGCGCGACTATGACAATCCGTACTTCGAACCTCAGTATGGGTTTCCCACTGAGGAAGATGAAGATGAAGATGAGCAGGAGGAGAGTTATACCCCACGATTTAACCAAAACCTCAATGGCAGTAGGTAGGAGTTTGGGTTACTCTTTTGGGTCTGCCCACTGAAGAGCTTACCAAAAGTCCTCCTCACCAGAGCCAGCCAGGGGAGGGAGGATGACCAGAAAAGGTCATCAGTCAGGAGGTTCTCCCAGTTCTGCTGTTCTCCTGGCATAGGGGTTGGGGGTCGGGGAGGGAGGCCTGGTTGTAGCAACGTAGCTGGGGTCTATACTTCTCCAAAGGTGAGGCACCTTGACCTGGAGCTGACAGGTGCCACTATGCGTTTCCAAGGGCTCAAAAACTGCTGCGGCCCAGTAGCCTAAAGCTGGCAAGTGATTCCGATGCAGAGTCAGACTCTCGGGCAAGTTCTCCCAACTCCACTGTCTCCAACAACAGCAGCGAGGGCTTCGGGGGCATCATGTCTTTTGCCAGTAAGTGCCACGAACTCTGTTGGGCTTTTTCTAAATGTACACGTCTTATATAGAGTTACTTAATGAATGTTAATTGAATTGAATTAGATTGAATTCCTCAGCTGTCCCGTTCTCTGCATCCCATTGTTGGGCCATAATTGAGTTAAAGTCATATAGAACCCCTTCTGTGGAGCTTGGGTCCCACCCTCGGGCCACATGGAGATTTTTGTCATAGATCATTGCCAGGCTCACACTCTTCTAGGGGATGGGGGAGGGGATGGAGCCAACAGAAGGTGAGAAGACTGCCTACTATGTTTGACATGCAGGCAACCCTTAATAAATTCTTTTCATTCATTTATTTATTTGTTCATTCGTACCTTTGGAGTTTACTGGAAACAGGATAGCTGTGTGTTTACCCAAGATAGATACTCAAAGGAGACGTCTCCATAGCCATATTCATCAGTGTCTTTTGCTAGGTTAAAGTGCCTCAGTCAAGTTGGATTGGGATTTAAACCCAGTTCTTTTCTTTTGAAAATGTCATCTTATGTCTTTTGTTTTTTCATCACCTACATTTCTGAATATATTCCTCTTTCCTGTACCTCCTCACTCTCTACCCAGCAAGCCAGTCCTTTGTAACAAAGATTAAAAAAGAAAGGGATCAAAGCAGTTCAGCAAAACTAACCAAGCCATCTACCATGTACGACAGGATCTGTAGCATTCCGTACACACAGTCCCCACTTCTGTAGTGAAGGGAAGGAGGAGCTTCTTCTCAATTCTTCTCTGAACCAAGCTGGTTATTATAATTGCACAGTGTTCAGTTCTTTGTATATATTGCTTTTCTGGTTCTGTTTGCTTATCCCTTTGTAAATTCATGAGTGACCCTGTGCTCCCCTCTTTATCTTTGTAAATTCATGAGTGACCCTGTGCTCCCCTAATTCTTTATCTCTGCCATTTCTCATGGTGCAGTAATATTCTACCACGTTCATCTAGCTCAGGGGCAGAGAACCTGCGGCAGAACAGTTTGGATTTAGTCAAAGGGCTGCACTTGACAACCTAGAGGGCCACACGTGGCCTCGAGGCCGCAGGCTCCTCGCCGCTGAGCTAGCTCAACTAGTTTTTTGTGTTCTCCTATTTGATGACATCTACTTTGTTTCTAGTCTTTCATGACTACAAAAAGGGTATGGGATCTTTCTTTCTGTCCTTGACCTCTTTGGGATATATTCCTAGCAGCAGGATCTTTGGGCCAAAGGGTGTAAATATTTTAGTTACTTTAGAAGTATAATTCCAAATTACTTTCCAGAATGATTGGAATAATTCATAGCTTTACCAATAGTGTATTAGTGTGCCTGCCTTCCTGCAGCCCCTCCAACATTGTCTCTTTATCACCTTTGCCAATTTATTGGATGTGAAGTGAGTTGTTTTGATTTTCATTTCTCTTATTATTAGTGATTTGGAGCAGGTGCCGTAGAAATGCTTATTTCCTTACCCATCCTTTCGGATGGTGGATTGTAGTGGGCGGTTTTTATTTGGAGAACTGTTAGTTCATATTCTTCAACCACTTATAAATTGGGAAAACATCCAATGCTTTCTTTGCCTAGTGAAAAAGTCTTTAATGACTTTGGAAGCTGTATGAGCCTATGTTTGGTATATGGAAAAGAGATAGTTATACATATGGGGAATGACTTAGCTTGAGAGCTGATGATAGATTTAGAAAGGAAACTCGAGTAATGAGTGAGGTCAGCGTGAGGTCAGTCAGACACCAGTACAGCCCTTCATCTAGAACCATTGCCATTCTAATTGCCTTTCCTATATCCCAGTGGAAGGGAAGATTTCATTGGCAGTTTTAAGACACAATTTTGTGTGTAAACAGTGCTAGAAAAGTATGACCCAAATAGAGCTTCCATTTTGCCTGCCTCTAGGCTTGTTTAGGATAGAGTTAAAAAAAAAACACTGGGGTAGACAATAGGTGGTACAGTGGATAAAGCACTGGGCCTGGAATCAAGAAGACTCATCTTCCTGAGTTCAAATCCAGCCTCAGATACTTCCTAGCTGTGTGACCCTGGGCAAGTCACTTAACCCTGTTTGCTTCAGTTTCCTCATCTGTAAAATGAGCTGGAGAAGGAAACGGCAAACCACTCCAGTATCTTTGCCAAAGGAAACCCCAAAAGGAGTCACGAAGAGTTGGACATGACTGAAATGACTGGCCAGTAGCAACAACAGACAGTAATTAGTAAGACTAACTGGACTTTGGAGGCTGGGCTGTATTTGAAAAAGGAAGGAAGTGAGGGTGGTTCAAAAAATGGCAATTGTGGGGTGGGGAAGAGGGTGGTTTAATACATTATGAACTTTGAAATGATCTTTGATCCTTGCGACCCCTTGATCGAACCCTCTTCCTTGTAGGTAGCCTGTACCGGAACCATAGCACCAGCTTCAGCCTCTCAAACCTTACACTGCCCACCAAAGGGGCCAGAGATAAGACAACACCCTTCCCTAGTCTCAAAGGTAATCTTAGTTAATGCGTCTGATACATTAGGGTGCTCTGGGAATGATACTGGGGCCTAGGTGCTGGATGGAGTTCTGTGTATCATGGGCCATTTTGTCTGGCCGTTGTCCCCACGCGTCAATTCTTGCATCTTTCTCTGCTCATCATGGGCCATGGTCTATTAATGGTTGTCAGGTGGATGGTGCTCTTAACCTCAAGGTGAGGTATTGTTATCTTACTTAGGATTGTGGCATTGTGGGAATGTAGGATTTCTGCTCTTTACAGTGGTAAATCTGTCACTGGTATGTTCCTGCGGCTCTAGGTAATACTAGCCCTCATATCCCCAGTACTTAGCACAATTCCTGGCACATTGTAAGCACCAATGATGTAGTAGATAAGAGTGCTGGACTTGGAGTCTGGAAGACCGAGTTTAATCCTGCCTCAGGATTAGCTATATGACCTTAGGTGAGTCTCGTACCCTTTCTCAGCCTCAGTTTACTTATCTGAAAAATGGTAGTAATAGCAATAATAGTACCTACCTTTCAGGTTTGTTATGAGGATCAAATGATATAACATATCTGTAAAGGGCTTTGCAAACCTTAAAGTGCTATGTAAATGCTATCATTATTATTATTATTATTATTATCATTATCCGATTGAGAGATTGGCCAGTTGTTTGCTGTACCTCACCTCCAGAGCTTCAAAGGAGCTGGCTCAGGAGGGTGGCAGAGGACAGTCCAGGGCTGCTAAGGTCAAGAAGCCTATTGGTTTGGCTTCTTGCCATCTCAGGAGTTGTATGAAGCCTGGTAGTTGGTTTGCTTCTGCTTAAAGTTCTGATGTTAGTAAATTGCAGTCGTGGCTAAGGAAGGCTGAGTGGGTCTATGGGATTCAATCTGATCAGTGTTTTCCCTGGATATTGAGCCTGGGAAACTGTGATTAGGCCAGACTGAGAAGGGATTTGACGTGTCCCTGAACTGAACTTTTACTACCAAAAGGCCTACCGCATTTCTTATTTCGGGGAGAAAACAAAGGGAAGATGGGGGGAAATGATTTGTACAGCTAGTTGGTGTTTCTGAGACTCAGGTGATGCCATTGCAATGTGGGCAGCCATAGCTGGGCATACATAGCAAGGGAGGAGAAGGGGTTATTCATGTTGCTGGCGTGCCATTTCACACATTTGAAGGAAACAGCAGTTAATGATTCTCTCACTGCATGACCACGCTCCACCTTTCATCTGCTTTGCTTATTCCCCATCCCTTCTCTCCTGCTAGGGTGTCTGTTCAGGATGAGGATCATTTGAGGGGGGCTCTGGGCTGGGTAATTCATGCCAGTCGTCAGTCTCTCTTCCTTCCAGCATGTGGGTATGTGGTGACTGGTGCTGCCAGGCTCCCTGTGCTATTTTCCCTACCAGCTCTGGCTTTGAGCCCTTGCTCAGCTAGCTCTGGGTCCCTGCAGGTGAGGCTACCAGATATGGCAGCTGCTGGAAGCAGGGCTCTGGGGCCTAGCCCAGAGTGCTTGGTGCTTGGCATATTTCTGGCTACAGCTCCATTGAGGGGTTTAGGGGTTGGAGTGTTGTGATACACTTACTAATTGTGTTTTTATGTCCCAGTATTTGGGCTAAATACTCTAATGGAGATTGTTACTGAAGCCGGCCCCGGGAGCGGTGAAGGTGGGTTTTGCCTGCGAGCTGTGCATGACCTTCTTTTCTTAGCATCTTCTGTGCCTGCCTGGGGGCCACCCTACTCGTGGGGCAAGCAGCATCAAATGAGCAACCTGCCTCACCCCCTCCCCCATGATGCCTCTTGCTTGCCCACAGCGTGCTGCTGGTGCTGGGGACGTGCATGTGGAGCGGCCTTGTCTCCATTCCCACCTCCTCCATGTTCCCTTGGCTGGTTTCTGCCTATGTGTGATGCCTTGGGGCCACTGCCACCCAGCCCTTGTTAGGAATGAGTGTGGACCATGGCTGCTCAGGGCTGTGTGGCACTAACTGCTGACCCGTGATAGTGACCTGTGTTACCTCTGCCTTCCTGGCTGCAGGAAGCCGGCGAGCCTTGGTGGATCAGAAGTCATCAGTCATCAAGCATAGCCCCACGGTGAAAAGAGAGTCTCCATCACCTCAGGGACGAGCCAGCAATTCCAGGTAACAGACGGCCGGGCAGCTGAGTCAGGAGTTTGAAGGGTGTCCACGAGAGGGGGAGGGGGAGACTCAGACCCGTCAGTGCCTCCGACAGGGGCAGGCCCAGTATTTTGCTTGGACTCCTCACTCAGGTTCAGTTGGCGCGTTATGGGGGTGGTCGAATGGGCCACGGGGCAGGCGAGGTAGGGCATGGTCCAGGAGTCCGGGGGCTGCACTTCTAGAGTGACTTGTGTCCCCATAGTGAGAACCAGCAGTTCCTGAAGGAGGTTGTGCACGGTGTGTTGGACGGCCAAGGAGTGGGCTGGCTCAGCATGAAGAAGGTGAGGCGGCTGCTGGAGAGCGAGCAGCTCCGAGGCTTTGTCCTGAGCAAGCTGAACCGCCTGGCGCCTCCCGAGGACGGCGCTCCCCAGGAGACAATTCCTGATGTGGTCAGTGAGCTGTCTGGGGTGGGCAGTGGCAGGGGCGGGGCTGGCGGGAGCATGGCAGTTTCTAGCCCCTGCCCTTGTTGTCTCAGGAGATAAGCCGCAAGGTCTACAAGGGGATGCTAGACCTCCTCAAGTGCATGGTGCTGAGTCTAGAGCAGTCTTATGCTAATGCTGGCCTCGGTGGCATGGCCAGCACCTTTGGGCTTCTGGAGATTGCCCAGACCCACTACTACAGCAAAGGTAAGGCCTGTGGCTGTTGGACAGTTTGCCATCCCTGGCTTGTCTCCTCTTCAAGAGAAGTTCCCTCTTGGACTCTGACAGTTGTCCCCTTGTCAGCTCACTCCCATTCAGTCCTTAGGGACTCTCTTCTGTGTGTAGCTTGTGTGCATGTCGTTAGCTGAATGTGCCCTCTCTATTAAACTGTGAACTCCTCAAGCTAAATGTTTACTGACTGGCTGGGGTTGGGGATTGGGCCTGTGTGATTTCATTGAGGCAGGGAACCCTTGTTCCAGTGTATTGTAGCTTGGCACCTTCTCTGCAGCTTAAAGTCTTAGAGTCTCAGTTGCCTGGGGCACTTGGGAAGTTAAGTGATTTGATGAAGGTCACTCAGCCAGGATGATCAGAAGCAAGACTTGAACCCAGGTCTTCCTGACTCTAGGACCAGCTCCCTGGCCACTCTACCATGCTGTCTACATTGTTTTCATATGAGTAGACAGTTCACAGCCACAAGAAGCTGTTTGCCTCTGTTTCCTGTGCTCGTGAGTCTGCCTGGTCTATTTCATTTACCTCCTGTCTGCCTCCTTCACCGTTGCCCTTTTTCCTACCCAGTCTCTGGACCTTGATTCATTCTTCCGCCTTCTCTGGCCTGCTGATTTTGGTATTCTTTTCCTCAGAGCCAGATAAACGGAAGAGAAGTCCCACAGATAGTGTGAACACCCCAGTTGTCAAGGATCCAGTCATGACTGGGCGGGGAGACCCAAAGGCCATGGCACAGCTGAGGGTTCCCCAGTTGGGACCACGGGCACCAAGTGCTACAGGAAGGGGCCCCAAGGAGCTGGACACCAGAAGCCTAAAGGAAGAGAATTTTGTAGCTTCTATTGGTGGGTATCACTGCGCTTGGTGTGATGGACAGGCACTAGTTTTGGAATCTTCCTTCTGTTCCCACACTCCATCCAGAATCCTGTCCTTGTCTTTGCCACACTTTGCTTTTCAGAGAGGAAGACTCACCTTTACTGACTCCCTGTCCCTTCCTAATACACCCTCGTACCTTCTTCTGTCCCATATTGCACCTTGACTCTACCTAGACAGTGGGCACATTCTTTCTCAAGGCACAGGGAGGGCTAATGAGGCTCCATTTTGTATTCTACACTGCACTTCTGACTTCCTTGACTCATTGGCATCTGGAGTTTCCTTTCTGTACAGTAAAGAGGCCAGGTGGGCCCTGGAAAGCTAGGAGGAAGTTGGGAAATGTGTCCAAAGTAAAAAAGGTTGTCTGGGCCTCTGTAGCCCATTTTGTTCCCTATCCTACTTATCCACTTCCAGGACACAGTGCTGACTCCCATGGGGACTGTCCAGCAACCCTCATACTCCTCTTCCTCTTTGGGATCTCTAGCAATCTGAGCCAGTTTTTCTATAAATATTTCAGCCTTGGCCTTAGCTGAGAGCTTGACGCTCTGCTATTTCTCCAGTCCCTGCTAGAGAAGGAGAGTGAACCTTCAGCAAGAGAGTGAGGAGCTCTCTGTGTACTACCCACAAACCACCTGACCTTGAGCTGCCAAGGTCCTAGCATCCTCTTACCTTGGCCCTAGGTCCCTGAACAACACACTTCATGTTGTTGACTACTTGTCACAACTCTTAGTAACTGCTGCTTTATCACTAGAAAAAGGTTATGGATAAAATTCAGGTCCAACCAATGCATGGCCTTGCCCAGTGGGAGCTGAGCCCTGCCAACTCAGTGAGAGGCTCTTCTTAGCTGATGTTTCCTGAGAGGAAGACCTCCTGAATCATGAGATCAAAACTCTCTTCTCCAGCTCTACAAAAATGCTCTTCTGTAATTCTCTTATGTTCCCTCTGACATTTGCCAGGAGGGAGGGGGAGCTTAGCTTCCATCAGACTTCCAGACAATCTGGAATGTTCAGCACGTGGATCAGGCTAAGCTGTTAGTCCAGCTGATGAGCTGAGGAATGAGGACTAGGCTTCTGGCGCTGGGGGGGAGTGCAGACTTTGAGTGGGAAGAGCTCTTTTGCCAGCAGTTAGGGGATTGGTCACTAGCTAAATAAACAGGCTTCCATCCATCCCTAAGCCATCAGTGAGTTAATCATGTCTGCATTCAAGCTCTTAAAAACCTTTCATTGCTTGTTTGATGCCTCAAGTGGCACTTTCCTCCAGCGGGAGTCTTTATAAATTGCCTTGTCCTAAGAAGGCAGTTTCATGTCCTTTCCACCCAGCACAAGGACCTGACCACCCCTGATGGGGGAGGACCAGAAGTTTGGTGCCCTCCACTCTTCTTTAGTATGTGGAGAGGCACTGGAACTCTCGATTTGGAGTGCTGTACCCTGGCGTGGATCTCCGGGGGTGGGGCGGGTTTCCATTCCGCCTGTCTGACCAGCCTCTGACTCTCTCTGTCTTTCTCTCCTGCTTGCATTGCATCTGGGGTAGAGTTGTGGAACAAGCACCAGGAAGTGAAAAAACAAAAAGCTTTGGACAAACAGAGTAAGGAACAAACGCCCCCCTCCCTGCCCCAAAGTCCCCCATACCTGCCAACTCCCCAGGCCCAGCTGGAGCAGGCTTACTGCGTCAACCCTATCCAAATTTGCTCTAGGGGATATTTGGAATAAGTGTGAACAGGTAGGTGGTATGTGGAATACAGGTGTGAGGCCTGGAGACCCCTTCTCCCCTCATAGCTAGAGTTCCTGTTGAGTAAACCCTGGGAACCTGGCTCTCTGTGCCGTCAGAGTTGGTGGGGAGACAGAGTCCCTTGTTGGATGGCATCTCCCTCACCTATGCAAAGGCCTCTGGGCACAGTTGGCAGAGATGGGTGCTGCCCCTCCTGTGTTGAGTCTGTAGCTGCACCTCCCTCCCTGGTGCCTTGCCTAGGGGTGCTTTCTTGCTTTCTGTCATTCTGTCCTTCTGCCATCCCATTGTTGGGGCGGGGGGGAAGAGGAAGCATGGAAGGCCTTTGTCTTAGGTCTGGAGACTTTGAGGAGGCTGAGCAATGTCCAGTGAAACAACTGCCATTTCCTTGTCTCATTGGGCATTGCCTTCTCAAGCCCCTAAAGACATTCACTTGGGAGACACTGCGTGACCCGTCACTTTGCCTCAGGCACCAGTGGAGTTCAGGCTGTGAGTGCAGTGGTGTGTGTTTTAGACATTTGTATGTGGGTCTTTCTGTGTTTGGGGCTGGTTTACCGAGGGTTGGCAAGGGCAAGAAGAGGGTTGCAGAGTCCCTTGGAGCCAGGTTAGATGCTTCTCAGTTGACTTTTAAGGAATCTGGGGACCTGTTAATCCAATGGGACGCTGAGGAAAGTAGCCCATGGAAAGGTGATTAAGACTTGCTGACCAGTTCTGAAACCAGTCTGTTCTGTTACCTCTGTCCCCATGGTTCATGCATCCTGGCTAACCAGATATCCTCCCCCTTTCCTCAGGGCCTGAAGGAGTTAAACCTGTCTTTGACCTTGGTGAAGCAGATGAGAAAAAGTCCCAGATCAGCGCAGACAGTGGAGTGAGCCTGATGTCTGGTTCTCAGGTTGGTGATGACCCTGTTGGGGGCTGAATCTAGGTGGCCATCTCAGACCTTTATTGTGATCTGTCCGAGAGGAAGGGCATAGAGGCTAGGAAAGGGGAAATGAGTACTTCTTAAGGAGACTTTGGGTAAAACAAGTAACTTTCTGAGCCTTGTCTTTCTCTCTTTTGTTTCAGAAAAGTGACCTGGAATCTACCATTAATGTAGGCCCAGCAGTTATGATCCGAAGCACAAGCCAGGATTCTGAAGTTAGCACTGTGGTAGGGGAACGCCACACTGGCATCCTGGGTGTAGGGAACAGAGGAAGCTGCTTTCCTTTAGAGACTGACTCTAGTTTCAGTTCACTGTGGTTCCTACTCTGGTCCTGCCTGTTCATGGAAAGATCTGTCTGTCTTGGACCAGACCTTGAGACCCCCACACGCATAATTTTGTAAATAACAAAATACTCCTTGGGAGCGCTTGGCATTTCTGGGTGACAACATCAAGTTCCAGCAACTTAGAAATTCTTGGTTCCTTATTAGAGGATTTCTTTGCCTTGGGGAGTATCCCTTATTGCTTGTTTTCCCCTCTCCCCCAGGTGAGTAACAGCTCTGGAGAGACATTGGGAGCAGACAGTGACCTGAGCAGCAATGCAGGTGATGGACCAGGTGGTGATGGCAGTGCTCATTTGCCCGGACTTCGTGGCACTGTGTCTGACAGCGAAATTGAGACCAATTCTGCCTCAGGCGCCATCTTTGTAAGCTTTATTTTCTGCCCAGGGAAAGCCATTTCTTTTGTCCAGAAGGGAAAAATCAAATCACGTGGAAGAAGGAGATAGAGCCAGGAATATGGATATCCTTGATATAATTAAGAGTTGATTTTAATGAGAATTTCCTTCAGGCTTTTTTCTCCCTCACAGAACCATATGAATCTATTGTCTGGGCTTTTTAGAGCAGAGGTTTCAAACATGTGACCAGCAACATTACTACCAAGTGTGGCCTGAACCAGATAAAAATATAATTGGAAAATATTTATCAAAATATATAAAAATACAAGAAAATACAGATAATGCCATATTTTAAAACTAAGTCAGTATGTGGTCTGCAGGGATCCTTATGTATGGATTAATGGTCCCTGTTTCTATTTGAATTTGACATCACTGTTTTTAGTAACGTTCTCTTCAATCAATGATCATTTGGAAACCTAGCCCAATTCGATAAGGGCTTATCAACTCATGTAATAATAATAATATCAATGTGTGAAACACTCAAAGCAGTTACGCTAATATCAGGGCAGTGGTAAAAGATCATTTAGGACTAGTCAACAGTAATACGGTCAGAAGTGAATTGGTCTTGACTATTGTAGAATATCTCAATCAGTCAATAAGCATTCATTAACTTATTGTATGCCATGCACTGTGCTAAGCTCTAGAGATAGAAAGAGAAAGCAGAAAAGAGGCTCTGCACTCAAGGGCTTACATTTTACTGAAGGAGACAATATAGAAATCAGAATTTACAAGATAAATTAAGAGTTGGATGAAAGAGGTGATAGACTTGGGGAACTAGTAACTTGGGAACAAGAAAGCCTTCTGGAGGACGTGATGCTTGAGCTGAGTCGAAAAGGAAGCTAGCCTTTCTAAGAAATGGGGTTTAGGAAGGAAAGCATTCTAGGCATGAGGAGTCAGCCATTGCAGAAGCACCGAGGTGTGAGATGGAGTGTTGTATGTGAGGAACAGCAAGGCCGGTGTGATTGGCCCATCCGCTGCCCAGAGGGGAAGAGGATGTAAAAAGATTGAGGGCTTTAAATGCCAAACAAGGTTTTATATTTGACTCAGGAGGTAATGGGAATCATTGGAGTTTACTTAATTGGGGGGTGGCATGGTCAGACCTATGCTTTAAGAAAATCCCTCTGGCAGGTAGATGGAGGCTAGATTGCAAAGGGGAGAGCCTTATTTAAGTAGTCCAAATAATGAGGGTCTGAACGAGGTTGGTAGCTTTGTGTGTGTGTGGGAGAGATGTTTTAGATGTTGAAATTGAAAGATTTGGAAAATGATTGGATCTGTGGTTGAATGAAAGAGAGAAGTCAAGGATAGGACCACAGTTGTGAGCCTGGATGCCTGGAAGAATGGTGGTGCCCTCTACAGTAATAGAGAAATTCAGGGGAGGGGAGGTGTTTTGGGGCCGAGATAACGAGTTCTATTATGGACATGTTGAATTTGAGATGCTTACAGGACATTGTTTGAAATGTCCAACAGGTAAAATTGGGGATGTATGAATGGAACTCAGAAGAGAGACTAGCACTGGATAACTAGACCTGGGACTCATCTGCAGAGAAATGATTATTGAACCCAAGGGAGCCGACAAGATCACCCAATGAGAAAGCATAGAGAGAAGCGTAGGATAGGCCTTGAGGGATACCCCCAGTTAGTGCTCATGACAAGGAAGAAGATCCAGCAAAAGAGACTGAAAAGAATTGATCAGATAGGTCGGAGGAGAACCAAGAGAGAGCAGAGTTGAGAAAACCCAGAGAGCAGAGAATATGCAGGAGGAGAAGGCAGTCAACATGTCAGATGCTGTAGAGAGGCCAGGAAGGATGAGGATCAGGAAGAGGCCATTAACCTGGACATTTAAGAGATCATTAGTAACTTTGGGTAGAACAGTTTCAGTTAAATGATGTTGGAACCAGAATGCAAAAGGTTTAGAAGAGGATGAAAGGACAGGAAGTGGAGATACTGATTATCATTCAACTAAAACATGTTTATCAAGCATCCTGCTGTGTACCAGTCACTTTGCTAAATGCCAGGGTATAGAAAAAGGCAAAAACATGGCCCCTATTCTTATGGAGCGTGCGTCCTGAAGAAGACAGTATGCAACGGTGCACAGACAGGATAAATACAGAGTAATGGGAAGTAATTTCAGAGGGAAGGTTCTAGCAGTGTGGTTGACTGGGAAAGAGGCTCTTTCAGAATGGCTTGTTTTAGATGTACTGAGTTTGAGATGCTTATGGGTCATCCATTCAAAAAGTCATTGATAAAGGAGGTGGAATGTCCTGGAGGTCAGTAGATAAACATCTACCAAATGGAATTTGACAATCACTTGTTTCAGTTATTTCTGCCAGCTCACTGAGGTAGGCCTTTGTGGCTGCTCTCTTCTGGAAGGTCAGGCTGTAAAGCCCTGGAAGGCATAGGGGGCTTGCCACAGGTCACACCACAAAGCATGGCCAGGAGGGGGTCTAGGCCAGGCTGCCTTTTCCAGGATGGTTTCTCCGTAAGTAGCTGGTTTGTTGAATTCAGTGCTCCAGCACACTTGGCCATTGTGTCAGTCAGAGATGGGAAGGGAGATCCCTAGGGGATCCTCAGCCTTTAGTGACTGTTGGTCTGTGGAGAGGCTAGAACATGACATTTAGATGGAGTCAATTATTAATACTGGTGATCATTCCCACCTGCAGGGCCTTCTGTATATGTTCTATTAATAAAAGGGGGTGCCATTATCCTGTAGTTTAGAGTGGAGAATAGACCTGAAAGCCAACAGGATTATGCAAATGGATGGGGCATGCCCTTCCCTGAATCCAATCCAACTAGTTTTAATGAGCATTTCATGTCCTCCCATAACTTGTATGTGAAGAGTTCAGAATTTAGATAGGATGGTATTGTAAGACATGGTGTACCCTACAGTCTGGCAAGAATCCACTCGACTGCATGCCTATGAGCCTGTGAGTAGGATTTCTGACTATTTCTGTCATTGCACCTGGCATGAAATTCATCCTTGCTGTGGAGGAGGTAGACATCAGTTATTTGTGAGGTTGGCTTGCTGAGAGCAATTGCCCAGACCTTTTGACTCTGAATAGTTGGTCTTAATTTGAGATCAGTTTATATCGAGTCACCATTGTCGAGGAAATAGACCGCAAGGCCCAAAACCCAACCAAGAGATTGGGTTTTAAGGCATAGCTTTGTCATCATTTACAGAATTACCTTGGGCAAATTGCTTTTTCTCTGCCTGCTACAGTTTCATTCCCTACCCTTTCCTTAACTGATAAAGAGTACTGTGAGAATGACTATAATAAGGTTCTTGTTAATGCTATAGAAAACCAATCTGGCTTTTCCTTGAGTCAAGTAGGTACTCCTATAAAGAGGATAAGAAGGAAAAGTTAGACTGAAACTTTAGGAAATAATGTAAATGGCTGTAATGGAGATTAGCATTTCAGACTGGTTTGGTAAGACCTGAGAGAGCAGAAAAGCAAGCAGTCACTTACTGGGCTGTTTAGAGTAATAGACCCACTGATGGTCTGACTGGTGTGTGGAGACCCACACCTGTGGCAGCTGATCTCCTGTCTCCTCCTTGCAGGGCAAAGCCCACAGTCTGAAGCCAAGTACGAAGGAGAAGGCAGCGGGCAGCCCCGTTCGTCCTTTTGAAGACGTGAGCCAGCGTGTCTACCTCTATGAGGGACTCCTAGGTGAGTTGGGGTAGAGCTTCCCTGGGAAGGCCAGGCACAGGTGGGCTAGGTAGGGCCAAGGGTGAGGAGGCCATCCAAACTGATGAGTTCCCTGGGAATTGGCGCAGTCACCCGGGTGTCAGTGTCAGCTGATCTGTGGTGACACACGGGGATCGTCTCTTTGAAGGCAAACAGCTCGCCGGGGTAGGAAGGAATAAGTAGCCATGAGTGATCCTGGGTGGAGGTGCTAGACTTTGGTGTTCATCAGCATTCTGTTTCTCTTTCTTTTCCTGTATTCCCTCCTTTGCTGCCATGACCCTTCCTGCTAATAACTTGGTAGGAAGGGACAAAGGATCCATGTGGGACCAGTTAGAGGATGCAGCTATGGAGACCTTCTCTATGAGTAACCACCTTTGCTTGTGTACTGTGTCTTTTCCACCTCCCTGGGGGGGCTGGCCTCCTTGAGAGGCAACTGGGGCAGGTGGCAGCCATGCCCTAGAGTGGGGGCAGAGTTCCATGCTCCTTTCTTCCCTGGGGTTTGAGGTGACTTCCTTTCCTGTGGCAGAGGGGCCACATCCAAATGGCTCATGTGATCCTCTGAGCAGCCTCTCTGGTATTCAGGTAAAGAACGTTCTACCCTGTGGGACCAGATGCAGTTCTGGGAAGATGCCTTCCTTGATGCTGTGATGTTGGAGAGAGAAGGAATGGGCATGGATCAGGGACCCCAGGAAATGATTGACAGGTACAGAAGCACAGTTTGGATCACACGCCCTCAGATCCTTCTGCGTCCTGCCTTGGTACTGCCAGGCTGACTTGTGTCTTCTTCCTTGGGCAGGTATCTGTCCCTCGGAGAACATGACCGGAAACGCCTGGAGGATGATGAAGATCGATTACTGGCCACACTCTTGAACAACCTCATCTCCTATATGCTTCTGATGAAGGTAATGAAAGCCGTGGAGTCTGCTCTGCTTGAGCCTTGTTACTCCTGCTACTGGAAGGGCCAGGACTGTTCTGGTCACTGTGGAGTCTGTCCACTGAGGCGGCCCTCCCTAAGGCTGTGAAAGTCTGAGGCCAAGTACAAAGGCTTGCCACGAGGCAGTGGACAGCCCTGGAACAGGTGAAAGTCGTCAGTGTCTCAGCCAGCTATGGTGGAGTGCAGAAAATGCCAGGAAGCTAAGGGACACTCAGTTCTCTGTGAAAGTGTTGTGACTCAGTGCCATAGCCTTCCCAGAGCTGTCTTCTTTCCTATGACTCTGGCAAAAAGCACCGTGCTGTTACTCGAGGTGATCTTTGCCACCACTCCTTTCTTGATCACAGAGATGTACTTTCTCCATAGTCCTCTTTTTCCTCCAGAGAATTGAACCTTTGGTTGGGGACTGACCTCTCCACACAAAGTCTTACTTTGGCTTCCTAGGTAAACAAGAATGACATCCGGAAGAAAGTTAGACGCCTCATGGGAAAATCTCACATTGGGCTTGTGTACGGCCAACAGATAAATGAAGTGTTAGATCAGTTGGCCAGCCTGGTGAGTACCCCCCCGGGCGCTTCTCCACCTCCTCGTCAACCCTGTATTTAAGAAAGGCAAACAGTTCTAGTCCTAGTGATGCAAGGAGGGAGGACCCTGTAGAACTGGGCCTCTGGAGCAGTCTGGTGAAGCCTAGGGGCTTCTTCTTGGAATAAGGTTTTTAAATGCATAAAATACCTAGGGTTACAAAGGGTTGGAATACAGGTATCAGAATATTAAAATATTCAGATTGCCTGCTCCTGAGAACCTGCCTCTTGGTTTGTTCCACTGTGGAGATCCAGGCAACCCTGTTGGGCTCCAGAGGTATTAATTTATTCCGATTTGGAGCACTGGCCAGAGGGCCTCAGCCCAAGAGCAGACGAGAAGTTTTGTCAATGGTACAAACTCTTATCTTTGAGATGTCCCTTCAGGGAGTCCTGACAAGTAAGACGGGAGCTCACAGTGAGAGTGTGGTGAATGAAGGCCCATTCTTAGCTCCGCTACTGACCAAGGCCCTTGAGCCCAGAGTCCTCTTTGACTGGGATCGAGCACTCTCCCTAAAAGGTGTCTCCTCCACTAGAATGGGCGGGACGTGTCTCTCCAGCCGAGTGGCAGCCGTCACATCAAGAAACAGACATTCGTGGTGCATGCAGGGACAGACACCAGTGGGGATATCTTCTTCATGGAGGTAGGTGTCGACCAGAAACATGGAGAATGAATAGAAATCTATGGGCAGCTAGGTGGCACAGTGGATAGAGTACCAGCCTTGGAGTCAGAAGGACCTGAGTTCAAATGTGGCCTCAGATACTTAATAGCTGTGTGACCCTGGGCAAGTCACTTAACTCCAATTGCCTGAAAAAAGAAAAAAGAAAAAAGAAAGAAGAAAGAAAAAGAAATCTTCTGGCCAAGAAGCCAGAGAACATTTGTTCATGTTGTCATAGGATTATAGGAGACTAGTTCCAGGGTAGAAGCCCACTCTTCCAAAATCACTTGGCTTTTGGCTAAGTAACAGTGTAAAGGTGACCAGTGATTTCTTTTTTTTTTAGTTAAACATTTATTCATTTATTTATTTTCAGTTTTCATCATTCACCTTCACAAGATTTTGAGTTCCAAATTTTCTCCCCATCTTGCCCCTCCTCCCACCCTAAGACGGCATGTATTCTGAATACCCCTTCCCCTAATCTGCCCTCCCTTCTATCACTTCCCCCTTCTCTTATCCCCTTCCCCTTCTATTTTCCTGTAGGGCAGAATAGATTTCTATACCCCATTGCCTGTATATCTTATTTCCCAGTTGCATATGAAAACGATTTTTAACATTTGTTTTTAAAACTTTGGGTTCCAAATTTTCTCCCTTCCTCCCTCCCCACCCACCCTCCTTAAGGAGGCAAGCCTCTCAATACATGTTATACATGTGTAGTCATACAGAACACTTGCATAGTAGTCATGTTGTGAAAAACTAACTATATTTCCAAACTTCATCCTATCCCGCCCACCGTTTATTCTGTCCTCTCTTTTAACCCTGTCCCTCCTCCTCAGAAGTGTTTGCTTCTGATCAGTGATTTCTTACCATAGGTTGGTTTCTTTGGAATTTTAACACATATCTCTTTGCTTAGTGATTTCAGGATCCAATTATAGCCCACTACAAGTTGCACTGGATTAAAATAAGTTATAAGAGCATTCCAGTTTGTCTCATTTGGGCTTGATTTTCACGTTTGTCAAAAGAGGCCAGATAGAGAAGGCCTGCCCTGAAAAAGAAATGCAAGCTGTGGGCTGATGGGGCTAGAGAAGGGGTTGACCATCTGGTAGATGAACTACACCTGATGCATCAGTCCTTGGCTGGATGGCCCAAGGGGAATGCCCATCCTAACTTGGTGTGGCTCAGAGGCACTTCCCCTGTGACACACTTGCCAGGAACCTCATTCCCTCAGCTCCAGCCAGGGTGTGTCTAAGGGCTCAAAGCTTGCCATCTCTTTCCCTGCCAGGACTTCTCAGCCATCCTCTGGAGACAGGGCAATCTCAGCCCCCCAGAAGAGGGCCTCCCCTGGGACAGGTCTCCACATGCAGCCGTGCCCTTTGCCTATCTGACAATGACCACACCGAGGCCACGGGCTTTCAAGGTGTTTTAGAATGTTGCCCAAAGCTCACCAGTTGTAGTGGGCAGCAGCAGGTGCCACTTCCATACCCTGAGCTTTATGCATGCCATTGTACTGGCATCTTTGAAGCATCTGAACCACACCCTGGTCCTCTGAGCATCTCTCTGCTTCCTCTCTGGCTCTCTGCATCATTACTCTGTAAGTGATTAGGGAGTGTAGGACAGTGGAGTCCTTTCCCGTTTTCCAGGCTGTGAAATGGAAATGTGGTGTTTGGCTTAAAATCACAGCCAAGCTGGGCTCAAATTTAGGGGCTTCCAGTGCCCACTGAGCTCCTTGGGTCTTCTTTCCTTCATTATCGTGGATCTCCATGGGGTTCTTGGAATCCACAGTGAACTCTCTTGAATATTAAAAATTCTTTTTGACAGGCTTTGGGTGTCTTTGGTGTAGACCAATTGGTATTTCTACTGCCAATGGGCAGAATACTTAGAAGTCACTTACAAGAATAAGATATTTTCTCTAAAAGACATTCAACTTTTCAGAGATAAATTCAGTAGTCATAGGAATGAAGTACTTATTAAATGGAGTGATACCTGGGCAAGCTCACTTGGGAGGGAATGAGATTTATTCAAAAGTGACTGTGATGTAAAAACAAAAGACACCTGTCAACAAAAAAAGGATAGAAAACATGACATAAGTGAATAGGGGTACCTTTGTGGCATCAATCGCTGAGATTAAGAATCCCACTGATTGACCTTCTCCTTTGGTCAGTCTGCCCCCATGACGAGTAAATTCACCTCATCTCTAAGGACGTTAGCTTAGAAATGGAAGGATGAGGCACCCCTTATCTCCTTCGCATCTCACACAGTTCCTCGGACACATGTCCTTACATGAACTCCACGTCTCCATCTCCTAGCAGAGAGCTGTAGAATGGGGCCAGGGGGTTCTGGGACACTACCAACGTCAGTTGCGGCAGGAAACGAGGCCGTGCGGGGCCAGCGAGGCCTGCCGGAGGTGGGAGCCATTGAGCCTGCCGTCTTCTCCCCTGCAGGTGTGTGATGACTGTGTCGTCTTACGCAGCAGCATTGGGACAGTGTCTGAGCGTTGGTGGTATGAGAAGCTCATCAACATGACCTATTGCCCCAAGACCAAGGTGCTCTGTCTGTGGAGAAGGAATGGGCCTGAGACGCAGCTCAACAAGTTCTATACCAAGAAGGTGCCAGTCTGGTGTCCTCTGCTGTGGTGGTGTGGGGAGGGAAGGAGCCCCCGTCCTGGGATGTCAGAGACCTCCTGGGCATGGGTGTGGGCCAGAGCAGGCCCCTTGGCTCAGGTCCAGGGCCAGACCCCTCGGGGCCAGAGGCTGGCCTAACTCCCCATCTTATGTGCTGCAGTGTCGGGAGCTGTACTACTGCGTGAAGGACAGCATGGAGCGGGCTGCAGCTCGCCAGCACAGCGCCAAGCCAGGTGAGAGCCCAGGCAGCGCCTCTCCCAGGCAGGGCCTTTCTGGACTGTCAGAATTCCGACAGGGAGCTCCCCGGGGCCTGACAGCCTCCTTCCTCAATACAGGTCCAGAGCTGGGCGGTGAGTTCCCAGTGCAGGACATGAGGACGGGCGAGGGTGGCTTGCTTCAGGTTACGCTGGAGGGGATCAACCTTAAGTTCATGCATAGCCAGGTAGGTTGGCAGGAGCAGCAGGAGGCCCTGCAGCCCACTTGTTGTGTGCAAGGGCAGGGACAGGGCCCCCAGGGCCACACCAGGGAAGAGAGAGAGACAGAGGGGGCAGCTGGCACCAGCGGTGGACCTGGGTGAGGGGGCAATGGCCCTCCCCAACTGCAGTCAGCCAGAGGGAACAGGGGAGCAGACTGGGCCAGATGAGTGCGATTCGGGCTGGGCTCCTGAGGGCAGTGTGAGGGGGAGCGTCTCCTTGACCCCTCTTTGCCCACTCCCTCCGGCTCTGTCGGTTCCTGGGCTTTTCTTTTGCTTGGTGTTGGTTTGTTCTGTGAGTGTGGCCCTGGCACGTTTCTCCATGTGTGAAGCTCGTGTCTGTCCTCTCTGCAGTGGGTGGGTTTTTGCCTCTTCCTTTCCTGCAGATTCTTCCCCCTCCTAGCTCCCTTTCCCTTAACCGTCCCTGACTTCACAGGCCATCCGGACAGAGCAGCCCGCCCTCCGCCTCCCCCCTGTGTGCTTCCATTATAGGACCCATGACTTCTTCCTCTTGGTCTTTTTTAACACAGTGTTCCTTTTCCTCCCAGTGACATTTCCTTAAGCTAATTCCATTCTGCAGCCAGCGCCTCCTCCTGGGCCCCTTTCAGCTGTCTCTTCAGCCAGGTGTTTTCCCTTCCCTTTCCTTGCTGTGTTCCCCCCTTTCCCTGGGGTTTCTGAGCCATAGCTGGTCATATGCTTCCACGGCTGCCCCCGAGCAGGCAGGGGATGCCCAGAGAAGGTGAACCTGCCATTGGACTGGGACCTTCTCTCTGCTCCTGGCGTTTCACTGTTACTGATTTCAGTGGGACCATTTGGGTAGTGTTGGGGTCATGGGAAACAGCCGCCCAACCAGCCTGGCAGCCCTGAGTGCCTTTTCATTGTGGGATTTGGGGGGATCTGTCTAGGGACCTAAACTGAGTGCTTTTCCATATCCATGAGGGTCCCAGGGCCTTCTGGGAAAAGGACACCAGTGCCCTCTGTGTTCCTCTTCCAGCCTGATGAGACTTAGCCATCATACCCAGATACCCTGTCCTGTTTAATGTCTCCTGCTTATCCTCTTAGGCCCCATAAATACTTTAATGCCCTGACTCCATGTCTACGCAGGCTTTTGCCTAAGGGTTTTGTCCACCATGGTTTGTCCCAGAGAGAAGGGGTATCGAGCTCTGACTCCTGTCCTTGTGGCCTCATTTCCTCTTCCACCACGTAAACTGGAGGCAGTGTGGCCCTCAGAAAGCTATGCCCTAACCTCTTGCTATAAGTCACTAGCCCCTATTCCAAAGGGGCACTCCCACCCCCTACTCCCCGCCCAGGCCCTTTCCAGCCCACTTCAGCCTGAGGGGAGTCTCCCACCCGTGCCAGCCCTCTGCGCCGGAGGAGGATGCATGGTGGGCCAAGTGGGAGGCCCTTGGGTGTCGAGGCCTGCCCGAGGCAGGGCCTGGATAGAATAGCCCAGGCCAGTAGAGGGGCCGCAGGGTTGGGGGTGACCAATAAAACTAACGACTTCATTTCTCTCCCATGCTTTCTCCTCCGGCCAGGAGCGGAAGGTACACGCCCTTTCTGCTGTCTTCGCTTCTTAGCCTTTTGAGTTGTGTGTGTGGATTCTCCTCTCCTCCTTTGGGGAAATGTCTTCCCTATGTGTGGGTGGGGCTGCAGCTGGGAGGCTGGGCTCTAGGGGCACCAGTGGAGCCCAGGGGCCTGACGCCATCCTTCCTCCCTCCTTCTTTTGCAGGTTTTCATAGAGCTGAATCACATTAAAAAGTGCAATACAGTTCGAGGCGTCTTTGTCCTGGAGGAATTTGGTAATTACACTCTTTTGCTCTTAGGTCTGGACTCACATGGCAGTAACTCAAACCTCTGAGCGCTGGAGGAGGGGCTGGCGGGGCAGGTGCCAGGGGACTGTGGGGGCAGGATGGAGCCCAGAGACAGTAGGCCCAAGGGGAATAAGGATGCAGAGCAGGGAAGAGATCGGAGCCCTCAGGAGCAGAGAGGCGAGAGTCAAATTCTAGAGAATCAGGTGCAAGGAGAGAAGGAGAGGGCCTAGGGAGCGTCTCCCATCCTCCTCTGCCTGGCCGAGCTGCCGCCAGAAACTGTGTGTGGATTGCTGCCCACGCGTTGTGCCGCCCGGCCCCTCCCAGGCCCTCCCAGCCTGCACCTCTGTCCACTCTCCCTTGTTCTCGGTCCGCAGGCTGTGAAATCTCTGTGCTCTAGAGTCACCGAGAGGGTCACAAGGAGATGGAGAATAGGCCAAGTCCATGAGGAAATGGAAGGTAGAGTTGTTCAGAGCGCCCAAGGAGAGGCGAGTCAGCTCAGAGCTGGGAGGGGGCCAGTATCAAGTGAGCAGTGATCCCCAGGACAGCAGTAGTGAGGAGGGGGCTGTCACCCCGGGGCTTTGAGTTCCTGCTGTGTTTGTGCTTCACTCTCTTGTGCCCCTTCATCGCTGCTATGAAAACCTTCGTTCTCCAGCAGGTAAAGTGACCTCGGCTCGTGCTGGCCCCTGGCCCCTTGCCTCAGTCCCTGCCAAGGGCAGGGGGCTCCCTGCAGGCACATTGCTGACTCTTTCTTCTCTCCCTTTCTCTTCCCACCCTCTATCTCCCCAAACCTCACTCCACCCCTGTGCTGGCTCCTTGGTTCTGTGAGTTTTCTCCCCCCTCTTTTCCTGCCAGACTCCCCACCGGGGAGCCTTCCAAATGGGGAGAAGGATTTGGGGTGGCTTCTTCTCCCTTCAGAGATGTTGTTCTTTACTCCCCAGGGTCCCCCCTCCCCGGGTCAGGATTAGTTGTGGTCAGCTGTTACTCCTCCTCTCCCTCATTCTGGCACCAAGGGATGCTCCTCTGCTCTTGGGCCCAAGGGGGCCATGGTGGTGGCTGCCCCTGGTCAGCCCAGCTCCCTGTGGCCCCTGCATGGTGGGAGCAGGGACCATTCTCAGCCTTGCGTTCTGGGCTGTGGTCATGTGTGTATTTTGCCTGTCGCTCGCCTTCCTCCCCACTACCTGGGTGCTGTGCTCGCCTGTACCTTCTGCTCGGTGTGTCTGCTCCAGAGCCCTCTGACGCTCTCCCTCACACGGGCAGGCCTGGCTCACTCCCACCGCTCAGGGAGGAAACCATTACAAGCCTGGTGGGTTTAGCATTGCCTCTATTCTTCCTCTTCTTCTAGCCCTGGGGGCTCTTGTGCAGGGATCTGTGGGAGACGGGGAAGGAGGGATTGTGCTGGTCACCCCAGGACCTCTGGCTCAGACGGGGGAGAAGTAGCAGCTCCCCCAGGCGGGCTTCACTAAGGGAGCTAACAGCCAAACACTGCTCAGGCAGGAGGGGCCAGTCACCCCCCCCCCAGACTTTGGTTCGTGTCCACCCCCCACAGCAGCTGCAGAGCCCCGAGGCCTGGGCGGCAGCCCCTAGGCGCGGGCTGGAGCCCGTGACTGCCCATCTTTCTGGCCTCGACGCAGCCACTGTGCAGGGCCGAGGGGAGGGAACGCCGGCCCCCAGCGCTGCTGCCTGGGGGGCCCGCTGCCCCGAGCTGGGGCTCTCCGTTTTGAACTCTCTGTTTTGTCTCTTGCCCGCCCGGTTTTAGTTCCTGAAACTAAAGAAGTGGTGAGCCACAAGTACAAGACGCCGATGGTGAGTGCCCACCCCTCTCCGCCAGGCTGCTGGGGTCCTTCAGACAGGAGGGGGGGCCCTGCTGAGCCCAGGGGAGGAGCAGGAAGCAGAGTTCACTTGTGGTGCCAAGGACCCAAGAGCGCCAGAGACAAGCCCTCCATCCTGAGGGATGCGTAGAGCGCCCCCTCTCCCGCTGCCAAGGCGCTGCATGGGTGGGATGTGGGGTCCCTGCCTGGGTGGTCATGCATCCGGGTCTCTCCTCTCTCCAGGCCCACGAGATCTGCTACTCCGTGTTGTGTCTCTTCTCTTATGTGGCTGCTGCTCGGAGCAAGGAGGCCGAGAGCAGAAGCAAACCCCCCCGGCCAGTGTCTAGCTGATGAAGGAGAATTTGGCAGCTGCCCCTGCCTGGGGTCCTCTCCCTGGCGCTGGCTTCCTTTGGAGTGCACGTTGGTGTTGTCGCTGAGACTGGAGATTTGTGTGTTCTCTACAAACTCCGTCCCTGGCTCAGCTCGGGCTCCAGCCTGCGTGTGTCCAAGTGTGTGTGTCTCTCTCTAGCAGGGCCAAGCTGACCTCTTCCTTCCCTGCTTTGACCCCCTCCAGGCCCAGTCTGCCTGCTTCCCAGGGCTACACCCTATAGGTCTCTGCAGTCCATTGGCTTCCAGAAACTAGGGAGTGGCCACGTGTGTGTACTGCTCTTGTGTCCTTGTGACCTGTGTGTTTTGTGTTTCCCTTTCCGTGTCCTTGGCACTTTAACCCTCCAGGGAAAATTCCTGCCCCTGCCCAGCAGGGGTCTGCCCCCAGACCCTCTGAGTGTACATCTGGTCTTCTGGAATAGCTCCCTTCACTGGAGAATGAGGACAGCCTGAAGCCCTCCCCTCCCTGGCAGGGGGTAGGTGAAGGTGGGGACCCAGGAGTGGGCTGGTGGCTGGAGGGGTAATCAATCATGCCCCCTCCCCCCATTGTCTTTCTCAAGCAGGTGGCCCCACCCCAGCGCCTGCTGCCCCCACCTCCATTCATTGGCATGAAGGACTTGAGATTGGTGGGGCCACCTTGGGCCCAGGTACCAGTGGCTGCTCCGCCTGGACCGTACCCGAGAGGGGCTGAGGAGGGCCAAGTTCAGTGTAAATATTTGTCTTCAGATGCTGCCTACCTGGGCTGCTGGGGCGGGCAAGGGATGGGTGTAAATATTTCTGCTCCACATTATTTATAGACAATGTACAGCCACGTCTGTGAATGTGAAATAAACGTCCTCTCCCCTTGACTCCTTAGCTGTCTGGATTAGAATCCAGCCCCTTCCTTTCCAGCCTGATGTTCCCCCCGTCACTTCTGCTGCTGGTTCTGGGCCCCAGGAAGCAGCCTGAGGATAGGACCCAGGGCCGCCCCCAGATAAAGCAGTCTCAGTCTCAGCCCTGGCATTCTGTTGCTAGTGAGGGGTCGATACCCTCCTAGCAGAGGTTGGGGCCTCTTGTTTGGGGTTTTCATGCCTCTGGGCTTAGGGCCTGCGCTCCCTGGCCTTGGACCAGCTCCAGGGGTAGGGCTGGGGTACAGCCCATGACCAAACTTCCCTCCCCATGTAAAGACGGCAGGGATGTGTAGTTCTGTTGTGAATTGTGTTGGCCACCAGAGGGACCTTGTGGTCCATCTGTCTACACAATGGAGGCAGTCTGATTGGGCTTTGGGTTCTGAGCATTCAGGGCTGGGGCGGAGGAATGGGAGCTGGAAGGGACCTTTCTCCCCTTCATATTACATAGGAAACCCCGGCCTCAGGCAGTAAGGGGACTTGGCCTCAGTCACCTGTTCTCCGATGGAGCTGGGACTAGAACTCGTGTTTGGTCAGACCAGTTATCTTTCCATTACACTCCATTGCTTGGCGGGGCAGAGGTCTTGGGCCTAGGCTATAGGAACCCATTCTAACTTATATTTTGAAATAAGTTTCCCTCTTTGCTATTGACAATTAACTTCTGGTCTCAGGGGACAGCATCTTCTGGCCTCCTTATATATGGGGTGACTTCCTCACATCAGAGTTCTGCTGGGGGATACTGAAAGTGGCTGCCTCCACCCCAAAGCGTCTCTTCGTCCGGTCCTCTTGCCCTGCCTCACCTGGGAGATAGCAGTGGCGAGTGACTGTAGGAACAGTTATTGTGTGGGGCTTTGGGGTCTTCCTGACTCAGCAGGAGCTGAGCAGGGTTAGAGGCAAAGGGGAGCTCCGGTTACCAACCAGATTACCCCTGGATGTGAGCAGCAGCAAAACGAAGGAAGGGGCATTAGCTTCTCTTGCTGAGGTTCAGATCCCAAGCTGGCCACCACCCTGACAAAGAGCCCACTGTCCAGCCTAGGCCTTGGCTTGGGCCTGCATTCAGACTGGCACCCCCATGGATCGATCACCTTGGCCAAGTGCCATCTACCCGAACCTCATCTGGAGGCCAGACTCCCCCATGGTTCCCCTGTGGCCAGGCTGGGCAGTAAAGAAAGCCACCCTGAGGGGCTGCACAAATTGTTTATTAGTCCAGTATGCTAAGGTGAAGTTCTAACAAGCCTGCATTCTGTGCATGGCCCACTTTTTAAAGCCTCTCAGTGGGTGAAGCTCCTTGGCTGGCTAGCTCCCATAGACAGGGAGATTGCCAGTGTGAACACCAGCCTCAACCCCATGGTATCATCTCTCTTTCCTTTCCTCAGGGTTCAGGCAGAGAACCCCCCTCCCCCATCCCATCCCCCACAGCTGCCTGAGGCAGGAGGGCCTGAGTTTAGTAAAGTGCCCTGTTGTCTTTCCCTCCCACCCACCCCCAGCACACACATATACACACACACAAACACCACAGCAGAAAGACTGGTTTCCTCCAAGGTCAGGGCTAGGGTCCTGATTGCACCTGTGACAGAGGGCACAGCTGTGAGTGGCCTGGGCTCAGCATCCGCCTTCCTCCAAGCTTCTGTCCCCCCAAAACAGCTTCAGCAGAGAAATCCAGAAGAAGCTAGCTAATAACCCTTGGCCAAGGGTGTTTGCCATGGTGCTTACCTGGCTTTTCTGGAGTCTCCAGCCTGGTTACTGAGGCACTGTAGGAGAGAAAGAGATGGGGAGCTCCCAATTTAACTCAATTCAACAAACACTCTCCACATTCTCTCCCAACTGATCTAGCCTTTCCAGAAAAGCCCTTAGGAACACTTTCTCTGCCATGCTTGCCTCTCTTAGAAAGCTTGTAGGTTTCCTCTCCGTGCTTGCCTCAGGGGAATCAATCTTTCTGCCCAGAACAAATTCGGGATACAGTTCCTCGGTGATTACACCTCTGATGTGGGCTAATTTTCTCAGCCAGTCCTCTTGGGGTCACAGACTTAAAGCCACAAAAGACCTTTAGAACCGTCCAGTCCAAACCTGAGGGGCTTTATAGATAGTTTGTGACTTGCCCAAAGGCACAGGTAGGATCTGAAGCCAGGCCTTGCACCTCCAGACCCACTGCTTTTTCTACTGTGCAGCTGTGTCTCATTTTGATCAGTGGCTTGGATGGAGCTGTAGGTGATGAGCTCATTAAATCTGGAGCTGAGATTTTGAGCATTCTTCAGAATGGAAGAGATTGAATCAAGGACAGGCTTCAGGGAGGAGGAAGACTGTACGGGAAGTGGGAAGATCACTGGATTTGGGGTCACGAGCAGCTGGGTTCATGCTCCAGCTGTACCACAACAATGATGGTACTGTGATAGTAATGATATTATAGCTGACGTTTAGAGAGCGCTTTGAAGTCTGCCACTTTACCTATATTGGATCCTTTACCTCTCATTGGATCCTGACAACAATCCTGTGAAAGATGTGCTATTCTCACCATTTTTTTGGTTGGGGAAACTGAGGCCCAGGTGAAGTTGCCTAGGACCATGCAGCTATTGTCTGAGACTCAGGCTTTCCTGACTCCTAGCCCAGTGCTCTAACCATTGCACATCTTGGCTGCCTGTTTACTACACGAGTTAATCTGAGGAAATCACTTCTCTGGGCCACGATTTCCTTATTGATAAATAATTTTTAAGGTCACATGCAACTCTAAATCAGTCATCCTATGTGGACTCAGAATCCAGCAAAATGCTCTGCTGGTGGCTTTCTAAGAGCATCTTCTTGGCCTTCAAGGAGGAGCTAGGGGTCCCTCTTGTTTATGGCGTGCCTAATTCCTGTCTTCTCTCACCGACATACTCCATTATTTCTCTTATTCCCATCGCCCAGGCCCCATCCTCACCTCGCACCTCCAGACGGCACTCACACTGTGCTTCCCCCTGGGCGTTGATGGCCCGACAGACATAAGCACCCGCATCAAAGGGGCAGGGTTTTCGGATTTCCAGAGTCAGTACCCCCTGCTTGCTGAACATACGGAAACGAGCATTCTCACCCAGATTCAGCCCATTCTTGAACCAGGAGATCTTGGGCTGTGAACCAAGACAAGGGGCAGGGGAATGAGATGACCGAGTCTGCCAGAAACTCTGGGGAATGGGGTGCCTACGTTCCCCTCTACGAGGATCTGGGATCACTAGAGAGGCCCCAAGGACTTGTGCTAAGCCCTGCCAAAGGCCTGTAGACCTAGTTCCTATGGATGATACCTAAGGGAACCATAACCATGCGTTCTGTGATAAATATTGTATTGGGTCAAGCCTACAACTTACTCCATTTTATGTGAAAGCAGAGTCTTTCTGTGGCCTCCTGAAAGGTTTGGGATAGACCCCTGTCCCACTTAACTTCTTCCCAAGGAGCTGTGATGGATTCAGCGAGGAACGTACAAAAACCTTTTGGCCTACCTCTTGTGGCAATGGATTCTGCTCTCTGGGTAGGAAGTGTACCTTAGGACTTCCTCGGACAGCGCAACAGAGGACTGCGTTGTAGCCTGCAATAACTGAGCGGTTCACCAGGGGCTGGGTGAAGCTTGGAGCCTCAGAATACTCGAGTTTCTTATATGTAGGGGGCTGGTATGTGAGACCTGCTGGCAGCAGACGGGTCTATGAGGAAGGGCCTCTCCAAGTCAAGCCCCTTCTGTGACCCATGTTCTCCTCCCCTTAGTGAGACATGACACTTGCCCCTTACTTGTCAAGGAGGAACTCTACCTATTTTGGGGATGAAGACTGGCTCCTTCGTGGTGGCTGCTTTCTCACTGGCGCCCACCATGTTTTGGCTGAAGACCCGGAAGTAGTAGTTATTACCCATGACGAGCTCGGATACCACACAGTGAGTCTGCCTGTAGTGCTCCAGTACTGTGAACCATTCCTAGGCAGCAGAGACAGTTGATTCCTTAAGTATTAAGGGCCTACTGTGTGCTAGGCACAAAGACAAAAGTGGAGTAGTCCCTGACCTCGAGTAGCTTACATTTTATTGGTTGGGCAAGAAAGATTGCCTGGGGGAAGCAGTGCTGTCCCCATCAGCCACCAGCTTGCCCTAGTCCCTGGCCCTTGACCTCTGCTGGAGCTGACCAGCATCTCAAGCTGCACGGTGAAGGGGCTGCTGACTAGTAGCAGGAAGATTAAACATAATTATATAAGCCTTCAACAAGGGCTCCATATGTGCCAGGCACTGTGCCAGGTTCTGGTGAGACAAAGGTGGGAAACCATCCCTGCCCTCAAGGAGCTAACTTTCTACTTGGGGAACAACTCAAACACTAATAAGTAAATAAAAAAATGGGATTTTTGGGGGGGGCGGGTAGGGGAAAAGCCCTTGTGCAGCCTCTCTCTCTCATCAGAAAAGGTCTCTTGTAGAAGGGGGTGGGGGGAGGCAGGGCACAGCCTACGCAAAGGCACGGGCAGAGATGGGAGATAGACTATTGTTTACAGGGGACAAAGCAGGCCAGCAGGATGAGAGCTGGGACCTTCCCGGCCCAGGGGAACCCTGTCCTTCTTGTCTTGTCAGAGCAGGGGGCAGCCATGGCCTGGCATCAGGAGATGAGTATGTCCCACCTAGCAGACAGTGCCCTTCTCTGGCTGTTTCCTCCTCCACATTCCACCCCAGGCTTGTGAGAGAAGGAGGTATCAAGGCCCCCCTCTTACCATGGTCTTCTTGTCAGCTTTCTGCACCATGTATCCCCAGAGTTCTGTGTTGCCATCATCCTGGGGGGGTTTCCACTCCAGGGCCACATTGAAGCCCCAGGTTTCAGTGACTCGCACCTCTTGGGGGGGGCTTGGTTTGTCTATGGAGAGTAGGGTCTGGGTCAGCCTAGGGCCTGGCTATCTAACCCTCCTTCTGTCGTTCCATCCATGCTAATGGCACGGAGGAAAATGACATCTTTTCAGATATTCCCTAGGTCATCCAGGGTCCCAGGGGCCCTCCTGACCCCTGTCAGCTGGGGTGTGTCCTGATTTTTACTGGGATAGTTCCATGGAGCCAAGAACTACAAGATCCTGGCCTTATCTCAGGCAGGAGAGTCAGGATGGAGTGAGGGCGTAGGTTGGCATGGGAGGGTGCTGCCAGTTGAGAGTCTTTGGGAACCACTGAGGCATAGGTCATGAGGCCCCTAAGTTCCTAGAGAAAAAACAACTCTGGGGCTGAGAGCTCCCAAACCTACACACCAACAATCTGCAGGACCAAAATGGCTTTGTCCTCCATGTTCTCGATCTGCACGGCCACCTGGTAAGTGCCTGAGTGGTCCCTGCGGGCGGCTCGGATGAACAGGATGGTGTCTGTTGGGCTGTTGCGAATGCTAACGTCGTTTCCAGCCAGTGGTTGCCCCTCCTTGCTCCAAGTGACCTGGGGCCGAGGCTTCCCCTGTTGGTCAGTGGGTAGCTAAGTGCTCAGCTCACCCCTCTGGGCCATAAGCTGACCCAGCCCAAGTGTGAGGGGGTGTGGGGGGGATTCTTGGGGAATGGGAGGGGCAGTAGAGGAAAGGGTAGGGGGCCAGGTACTGGCTGCCCAACAACCCTCCCACCTCCACCAAAACCCATCAGCTAGAGTTCTTGGCCCAGCCCACAAGGCCACCTGGCAATGCTACTCAAGCATGAAATGAAACAGAGTCCCTAGGGCCTGTGGCACCCCAGATGATGCACCCCAGAACCTCAGCCTCTTGGGCTGGAGAGGCTGGTATGGGTGGGTAGCCCCAAAGTAAAGAGAGGCGGGGCACTGACCTGGAAAGGGATAAGGATATTCACAGGTTCGCCCACTTTTCTCTGCACGGTCTGGCGCAGGTGCCGAGGCAGCCGGAGCCTGGGACGCTCTGTGGATAGAAAGAGGCCATTTGTCAGAGAGCCTGACCTCGGGCTCAGTCTTGGGGAGGCCCTGGGAAGGAGGAGGAGGCCCGAGCTCTGAATGCCTGAAGAAGCCAATACGTTGTGGGGGGTGGGCAAGGGGCCATGATGGCTCTCTTCACATGCCTGAAAGGCTGCTGTGTGGCACAGGGGTCAGACAATGCTGGGCCTCAGAGGGCAGAACAAGGGAGGAGCAGTGGGTGAAAGGGGTGGGTTTAGGTTTAAGGTAAGGAAAAGCATCCTATGAGCAGGTGCAGTACAAAGTGGAATGGGCTGCTTGGGGAGGTCACGGTGTCCTATTGTGCTGCCCCTCCCCCCACCTCGACCTCCAGGCAAAGGCTTAATATATTTTACACAGGATTGGACCACAAGGTCCCTGAGAGAGACTGATTTGGAGTCCTGTCCCCCAGACAAAAGCAGACTGTCCCCAGCCCTACCCCCACACCCCTGCACAGAAGGCCCACAACAGAGGGACCCCATGGAGCAGCAGCTTTTCCAGTACTTAAAAGTGGCCCTTCTGCCCACCACCAGCCTTTTCTTTTCTCAGCTATACCTTATTCCTTTACAAGACTTGGGCAGCCCAGAGGCCTAGAAGTAATTCAAGTAAGACCCTCTGAGCATCAGGCCCTACGATCACAACTTCAGAATCAGGAGGGTCATTGGAGGCCTGATCTGACCCTCTCGTTTTACACTCAAGGAAATAGAAGGGCCTGCCAAGTTCACTGAGCGGTACGTCAAAGGACCCTTGTTCCATGCTGTCTCCCTAAGAGGCCTTCGGGCTCAGTCTCTCCATTTCCAGGCCATCTCCGTCTGGTAGGGATCTGAGGGTCTGGGGGGACCACATGGTCACTTAGGCCTCTTGCTATTCTGGCTGGATGGGATAAAGCCTCTGCTGCTCCGGGGAAGAAGTCACCCTCTTGCCCATCCCCCGTCTCTCACCTAAGATCTCCTGCACGGTGATGGGCTCCTTGGTGGTGGCAGGGGCACCAGGCCCAGCCAGGTTGTGTGCCCGTACTCGGAAGAGCAGCCTGGCCCCCGTGGGAAGCTCCTTCACCAGCAGCGATGTGCAGTCCGTTAGACCCTGCAAGGCGCTTACCCACTCGGAGGCTACCGGGAAGGAGAGACCCAAGTCAGCATCAGCATCAGCATCAGCATCAGCTCCAGACCCCTCCAGGGACCAGGGGAGAGAAGGAGGCTGGGCGGGGCCTGTCAGGACCATGCCTGCCTGCAGGGACGTGGCACTCCTGGGCTCATGCCGCAGGGACAACGCTTGCTGCCTGAACATAAGCCATAGGGGTGGGGCTGGGATGGGAGGGAAGGAGGCGCTGACTTACATCCCTCTCTGCAGTATTCCACACTGTAACCATCCAGCCCTCCAGCCCCAACGCGCTCTGGGGGCCGCCATTTGAGGGAGACAGTGCTGTCAGAGACATCCTCTATGCCCAGGTGGGTGGGCTCACTGGGAGGGCCTGGGGGATGAGAAGCAAGAGGTCAGAGAGTACACTTATACATAGCACAAGCTCAGAATCTTGGAGTCGGAAGGGACCTCCACTGTTATCTGCCAGGCACCGGAAAAGGGGATGAAGGTGAAAATTCTTCTCCCTTTTGGACTGGGGCCTGGCTGTCTAACCGTCCCTCTGTCTCTCCCTAGCTGAGCAGAAATCCCCTCAGAATCTCCCCATATGGGGTTATCCAATGTCTGCCTGAAGACCTCCAGGGAAGGGGAGTTCACTCCCTGCCTTCCTGGGGCATCCCATTCCACCCTGGGGCTTCCTAATGGTTAGGCATCAAATCTGGGCCTAAATGTGCCTCTTTGTATTTTTTACCCCTGCTTCTAGCTCTCACACCACTCACTCCCACACGTGCTCCTAGCTTGGTGCCAATCAAACTTCCTAGAGAGACTCAACATGAGGAAGTCCCCGTGTTAGGCAAATGGGTGCTCTCCGCTCTGCCCTCCAAGATCCAGCTCAGGCAGAGGGCGGTGACCTGGGGTCCGTGTGCAGTTTACCAGATGAGAACCCTAGTCTGATGAGGAGTTGATACATTCAGATGTTCCCAGGCCATCTATTAGACTTGAATGACAAATGGTCATGTGTCTATAGGGCTTTACGTGGCACTCTTCAAATTCCATTGTGTCTGGTGCACACAAAACCCTATGACGACGTAGGTAGAGCAGTTAGCTGCACATTAACCCTGTCTCACGGATGAGTGAATCAGAACTCAGACACCCAGAGTGACTTTCCCACAGCTGGTAGGGGGTTGGGCCGCAGCGGGGGCTGGCCAGAGTGGCATGGGGGATTGTGGGAGGCCCTGGAGGACCCTGGTCTCCTTATTCCAGGCAGCACCGGGCTCACCTATGGGCATGAAGGGCTGGGAGGCGGGGCTGGGCCGTGACATGCCAATAGCATTGACTGCGTAGACGCGCATCTCATACACCACCCCCTCGATCATGCGCTTGGCCTCATGGCTCAGCTCCCGGAGGAGGTCAAAATTCAACCGCATCCACCGGTAACTCTTCTTTTTCTTCCTCTCCAAGATATAGCCTGGGAGGGAGGAAGGGAGGGAAGGAGCATTACGGAGGACAAACTAGGGTTGCTTTCCTACCCACACCCCCGAGAAGGCTCAGCTTGACTGCCTTTGACTACCCAGGATCTATCAGCATCCCTCCAACTGCTGGAACTCCCCACTTCCAAAATCACTTTACTTTGACTCACCTGTATATAGCTTGTTTCTACCCAATAGAATGTAAGCTCCTCGTGGGCAGAAATGGTTTCGTTTTTGTCTTTATATCGCCAGTGCCTAGCACTGTACCTGGCACCTCGTAGGTGATGAGACTTGCTGGAGAGAGCCCAAGTCACCCCTCCCCTTTCATCTGAAGATATCCCCTTCTGATCTCAAGACCCCTGGGCCAGGCTGACCTGGGACAACCAACAGGTTGGGGTCATAGGATCATAAGGGGTCTTGGAGACCATCTCGTTCAAACTTTACTGATACAGACCTGACGTCTAGAGGGGAGGAGGTTTGCTTAAGATCACCTAAATGGCTGAGCCAGGATTTGAACCCAGATCCTCTGACCTTCAAGCCTGGTACTCTTTCCAAGTCTTAAAGGCAGCGTCAGGAGAGCAGTCCAGTCCTCTAATGAGCCCCAGGCTGGCCCTAGGCCTGCGACTGATGAATCAATCAGTATCCCCGTCTCACCTAGGATAGGCTGTCCGCCGTCATAGTCTGGGGGCTGCCAATGCACACTGCAGGAGTCTTCTCCTACATTGCTAATCCTTGGGGCCGCGGGTGGGTCAGGGACATCTGAGATGGAAAAGCAGATGTTCGACTGTCTTTTCACCTCAGGGCCCCTAGCCCTGGATCCCAGGGATGCATCTCTATCCTCCAGAGGAGAGCCCTGTGCCCAGAGCCCTGCCCCCTTGCCCAGTGGTGCCTGCCTCACCGATGACCTTGACAGTGATGTTGACCTGGTCTTCGCCCACCGGGTTCTTCACTGTCACAATGTAGACACCCTCATCCTCCTTCTCAGCCCCTTCCACCGTGAAGATGCTACGGTCCTTGTGGGTCTCCACGCGTACCCGACCCTCGGTGTCACACAGCAGCTGGAGAAAGGAGGTCATTGCTATGGGGGAACCCTAGGTCTGGGCACTAAGATCTCCCCAGCAAAGTCAAGGTCATAAGTGACCAAAGGAGGTCCCAGTTTCCTGGTTCTCTCCTTGGGCTCTTTATATCCCAGGGATAGGCCAGGAGCATTCCTGGGCCCTGGCACGAGGAACCCCCTCCAGTCCAGGCTTGAGAATCAATTAACACCACCAAGTGGGTACCTACTGACTCCAAGGCCCCATGCTAAGCACAGTGAGGGGAGAGGGAAAGAACATTAGATTGGAGAGACAATGTGGTGTAGTAGAGAGACCAATGGACTTGAAACCAGAAGACCTGGGTTTGAAACCTGGCCCTGAGACTTGCTAACTCTGTGACCTTGTACAAGCTCTTGGCCTCTCTTGGCCTCAGTTTCTTCATCTGCAAGATGGCCATGATAATGCTTGAACTACAGGGTGAGGAAACTGTAAACTTAGCTCTCTAGAACTGCTATTGAAAGATAATAAATCGAAGGTCTCAGGGCCCTTGGCAGCTCCTGAGTCCACTGAATTCTGGGATCGAGCAAGAAGAGTCGGGCTGTAGTCCAAAGCTACGTTGCTGATCCAGTATGGACTAATCTTGGGGAGGTCATTGCCCCTCAGGTCTCTCCTCCTGGGAGGAGATTCTAGGGCTTAGCAGAATGCTTGGTCCATAGCATAGGAAGCACATAAATGTTTTATCGTTCATTCATTCATTCACTCATTCACTCATTCATTCAATTACTCATCTGCTCCTTCACTCATTTATTCACTCACTCATTTACCTTATTCACTCACATTCATTCGCTCACTCTCAATCATTCACTCACTCATTTATTCATTCACTCATTCATTCACTCATTCATTCATTCATTCATTCATTCATTCCAATAGATGAGATAGGGTTTTACAATCAATAGCACTATACAAACCATCAGGCGTTGTTACAGAGCTGAAGAAATAGAAGGGGTTATCTCCAGCTCCCCAGAGTTGAAACCAGACACACTTGAACAGACGAGAACACACACAAGCATTCAAACAGCCGCATGGGCAGGAGAATATGATGCTGACCGAGCCCCCAGGGGTTGCGGGGATGCCTAGCAAAGGAGGGGCAAGGGTGGGCTTTCTTAAAGTGCCTGGCATGTGACTACCCCACACTGGATGGAGAAAGGGGTGAAAGAGGGCCACAGGGCCAGCTGGCCTGGGTCTGTCTTACCTTCCTCTCAAACACCCACTCGTTGCTGTCACTGGTATCACTGGAAGCGTCTGGGGTCTCACCCAGGCCTTTGCTTCCCTGGAAAGCAGAGCCTCAGAATGAGGGGTACGCAGAAGGAAGAGCCAAGCTTGGCTTGGACGGGGTTCCCACAGAACACACAGCTGTGTGGCCCAGCTACCACCTCCCGCGATCTCCTGGCTACCCCAGCGGTTTCCTTCCCGTTGACAAGAAGTGAAGTACCGTGTGTGTGCACGCATGCTGTGGTTGGGGTGGGGAAGGCACCTGTGCAGCCTTTTGCCAGATGACATTCGGTGCCGGATCCCCAGAGATGGGCACATCCAGACGTAGCTTGTTCCCAGCCACGACCACTATTGTATCAGGGGTGCGTCCAGGGCAGTCCAGGTGGATCTTGGGAGGTTCTGGGAAGGACACCCAGGATGCAGTCAGGCGTGGTGGGGAGCATCAAGAGAATGATGGACCATTTGAATGGAAAGAATGGAACCATAGTGTTCAACATGGAGAACCTGAGAAACCTCTCGTGATTTTTTATCACAGAACAAGTGAGTCTGCACTCTCCTCTGAGACCTGACTTCCCAACACGCTAACACACAATGCTGACAAATCTAATTTGGTGCTCACCATGAGGCTAGGAGAGACAATCGAGCTCTGAGATGACTCAGACCAGTGTCATCTCCCCCCTATTCTACGAGCTCACCATGGGGTGAGAACCCTGCTTATTCCCTCTCTAATTCCCTTCCCTAATGCCTAGGGGCATTAGTGCCCAGCACAGGGAAGGCACACAGAGAGGATTAGCAGGGAGCATCAGCTCCCGAATGTGAAGTCCAGGATTTCGGACTTTTCTCAATGCCCAACCTGGTGCTATGAGTCTGGCTCCCTGGGAGTTTGATGAGATGGTGATAAAAGAGGGAAAGGCTGGTGGCATGTGTGAAGATTGGCTAGGGCTGGAGGGCAACTGGGCAGAAGGGGATGTGTGACTCTCACCTTGCCTGGGCACAAAGTCGATTTTGACCTCTGAAAGGGAAGAAAGGAGGGAGTAGAGCTGAGGATATGAAGGAAGGAGTAGAAAGGTTCCCTCCATCCAAGCCTCAGGCAGTACCGGCTCTGCCATTCAAGTTAGGGGCTGTTCCCCGCACCACCCCAGGGGATGCCCCCAGCACCCAGGGTCGGCAGTGCCAGGCTCACCCATGAAGTGGAGCTTGGCTGAGAGGTTACAGGCAAAGCCTTCAGGCACAAAACTGTAGTCAGCTTCATCAGCAGGTGTGACATCATCAATGGTCAGCTTATGGACCCTGAGGGCAGAGGTCTTAGCTCAGGGAAGGCCCGGGGAGCCGGGAAGTTGAGCATTGAACCCTCTCACCACGTCTCTCTATAAATAATAGAACTCTGACACCTCATCTCCCCCTCCTCCCAAGAGCAAGTGAAGGGGGGAGCAGTATGCAGGCAGGGGCCCCGGGGCCCTTCCCCTAGCCACCCACTCACCGGCCAATGTGGGACACCTTTACGCGGCTGTCGGGCACCAGCTCCCTCCCGTTCTTCAGCCAGACTCCCCTCACGTTCTCATCGGACACCTCGCACTTGAACACGGCCTGGTCCCGAGCCCCCACTGTCAGGTCCGCGATGTTCTGATACACCTCCAGTGTCTTCTCTGGGGAGTGGACAGGATGGCTGGTGTGAACGCAGGGGTGAGCACCCGCGTGTATGTGTGGGGAGCCAGTAGCCCTCTGAAGGGATTCAGGGCCACATGTATGTACACAGAGGGAGAAAGGACGGTCAAAAACCTGCCTTCAGAGCTGTGTGACTTTGGGCAAGTCCCTTACCTGCTCTCAGACTCAGTTTTCTCATCTGTAAAGTGGGGATAACCTTGTGGAGCTCAAAAGAGAGAATTTTTTTTGTTTGTTTTGCTAGGCAATGGGGTTAAGTGACTTGCCTAGGGTCACACAGCTAGTAAGTGTCAAAAGTCTGAGGCCAAATTTGAACTCAGGTCCTCCTGACTCCAAGGCCAGAGCTCTATCCACTGCGCCACCTAGCTGCCCGAGAACTTATTTTTTTTAAGTGCTACATAAAAGCAGCTACTGTGGCAGACAAGTTCCTATCCCTCCGGGGGCCTCAGTTTCCTTGTCTGTCAAATGAGGGGTTGGCCCCAGTGGCCTCTGAGGGGCCTCCCAGCTCTCCATCTGGGGTCTCATGAAGTCTTCAGGCTTCCCACCCCCATCCCAGCCTCACCCTGCACTATGAGCTCTGCTAAGGCCTGGCCGCCACTGGTGCGGATGGCATAGTGGCCGCTGTCCTCCAGGGTCGCTTCGTTGATGATCAGGTGGTGCTTCCGTCCATCCTTCTTAAAGCGGTATTTGAAGGTCTCCTCTCGGGTCAGCTCCACTCCATCTTTCAACCTGGCCCAGGTGAAGTCAATCGTTATTGTGGTGGTGGCAGAACAGGGGGCCGGAGGTATTGACTGGGCCGGAATGGCCGTGGTGCAGGGCATGATGCTACTGGACGTGACTGGCTAACTTTGGACCAAAGGCGGGACACATTCACGATGCCGACCCCCCAGGGGCTTTCAGGACCACCTTGTCCTTAGGGAGTAGGGCACTACTGGCATCTCCCATCCTCCCAGCTTCCAGCCTTTTCCTCCTTCCGCCACTAACTGACCCAGGGCTGTGCTCACCATTTGACAGGTGCTCCCTCCTCGGACACTTCACACTCAAATTCTATCCGCTGTCCAACTGTTACCATCTGGTCCTCCAAGGCCCTCGTGATCAGCACTGGGGGCTCTGCCAAAACACAGCAGTTCCTTAACCTGGGCTTGCTCGGACCCAACGCCTCCCCAATCCCTTCCACGAAATGGACCGACCCTGCCTGGGGTGACAAATTTTGGGAAGGACATTAACAAGCTGGTGAGCCTCCAGAGGAGGGTGACCAGGGTGGCCCTTAGAGATCATCTGGTCTTACCTCTTTGTTTTACACACAAAGACACTGAGGATGTTAGCCTGGGAAAGAGGAGGCTGGGGGTGGAAGGACGTAGAAGTGGGCCCCCTCAAAGATGGACTCGAGCCGTCTGCTTGGCCCCAGAGCCAGCAGCAGTGACGGGAGATGACGGGAGAGCTCCCTAATCCTCCGAGCTGTCCCAAAGTGGGATGGCCATCGGCTAGGGAGGGGGCGGCTTCCCCCTCCCTGGAGGGGTGACCACTGGGGAGGAGAATCCTGTTCAGGTGGGGGTGGGGTCAGCCTGCTCACCTTTCACAAAGAGCTCGGTGCTGCACTTGCCCCCGTTCACCACGCACTGGTAAGCAGCATCGTCCGCCAGGGAACACTGGCTGATGGTCAGCATGCGCTTGCTGCCAGCAGACTCAAAGATGTACCTGAAGGGAGGGGGCAGACAGAACCTGACGAGGGATCCCAGGAGCTGGACCAGCCTCGGCCGCAGGTGAGGACAAGCACGAACAGGGAAGGGGGACAGACCGATGCTGAGGAAGTACTCACCGTCTGCCGCCGGACCCCAGAGGCTGTGAAGTCACAGGCCTCGTTCTTCTTCTTCTTTTTTTAGGTAATTGGGGTTAAGTGACTTGCCCAGGGTCACACGGCTAGTAAGTGTCAAGTGTTTGGTCTGAGGCTGGATTTGAACTCAGGTGCTCCTGACTTCGGGGCCGGTGCTCTATCCACTGCACCGCCTCGCTGCCCCACGCCTCGTTTTTCAGATGGGGTTCACTAGCTTGCCCACGATTCCACAATGCTTCTTCAACCAGACTTTACAGGCACCTCCTCATGAGCCACAGCCCACCCCCTCAACCCAAGCCTGGGGAAACACGGCTCCTCCTTGCCCTTCCCTCCAGCCTACCCAACCCAGGAACTTACTTGCTAAAGTCCAGAGAGAGACCACCAGTTTCAGAATGGAGGAGGAGAGACAGAGATGAACAGAGAAAGAGAGACAGAGCCAAGCGACATCCTCTGGTCAGATAGCTCACCACTTCTCCACCAGCCCTCTGTGTCCCCCTCTCCCAGCTCAGTGCCCCTTGATGTCCCATCTCCCAGCTTCCCCCTCAGGGTGCCCCACCAATGCCCATTACCATTCCCACCACCAGACACACCTGCCACTCATATGAATTTCCTGCCCGTTCTTCAGCCATTTGACCTCGGCATCAGGGTCAGACAATTCAACTACCAACCGGATCTTCTGCCCTTTGTTAACCTGGTAGGCAGGCTCCAGCTTCTTCACAAATGCTTTTGGAGGACACAGAGACAGCTTAGCTTTTCCTGGGGAACCTGACCCCCTTCCCTGAATCAGTGCTTTCAAAGTGGGTGAGGAATGAGACAGATGCCACCTGACCTCCTTCCTAAACAGATAAGGGAGCATGGGGTGAACGTGTGCTGGCTTTGCACACTGGCTCTGACACTTGCTAATTGTGTGGAAACACAGAACCTCAATTTCCCCATCTATAATATGGGGGAAATAAGGCCTGCACTCACAAGGATTGTTGTGAAAAAACTTTTGAAAACCTTAATGTGCTACAGAAACAAGAGCTTTAAACTTTCTAGGATTCAGTTTCCCCCTGTGTGAAATGAGGATTTTGGAACAGATAATCTCAGAGGTGCCACAGCTCTGACAATTCTAGGTTTTGTGTCCTGCACCCTAGGGACCGCTTAGAATCCTCACCTTGGGTGCCCCGCCCCCACCCCTCTCCTATCTCAATCTATTTGGCATTTTCTGCTTCTCTGCGTCCGCATTGTAAATCCCCAGCACCTTCCTTGCACATAGAAAATGTTCATTGGAATGAATTGAATTGAGATCATAGGAGGATAGATTTAGAACCGAAAGAGACCTTAAGAAATCAACCCCCTCATTTACAGCAGAGGAAAATGAGGCCTAGAGAGAAGTGACTTGCCGAGGTGGAATCAGCCTGGCATGGGCCAGGGAGTGCTCGAATGGTACAAACTAAGGGTTTCTGGGCTCCCCTCTGCCAGGGACCCCTGGACAGAGTGTCTAGTCCCTGCCTGCAGAGCCAATGGCCTGCGTGGCTAAGCAGAGCAGGCGAGCATCGAGAAGGAAGACTTCAGACCCTTTCCCTGTCAGGAGAGCTGAGCTAGGTAGAGGGTGAGCACTCCTAGGGGCTTGGACAGAGAAGTGGCTAGAGGCAGGAGTGGGGAGGACTCACCCATGCTCTTCTTCTCCTCCTTCTTTATGCCCTTGAGGCGTTTTAGCATGCCCCGGAGGTCCGTGACACCATGCTGGAAGGCAATTCGCTCATACTCCGAGGGAGGGGCCGTCCTGAGGATCTCCCACACATCCTCCTCTGCTGGGGCCTCCAGCTTTGGGTCCCTGGTGCCAATCAGACAAGCCCCATAGAGAAGCATCTCCTTCTCAGTGCCCAGCCCTCTCCTTACAATGCTCCCAGAATGCAAGAACTCCCACCCAGAGCCTAGACGATTAAGAAGCACTCTCCCTCTCTCCCAGAGGTCTGAAGACCCTCCCTCCAATCTCCTCCACCATGTAGCAGGTTGTAGAAGACAGCTCCCCTCCAGGACAGAGGTTGGGAGGGTCTCTGTGAGGTCAGGGAGGTGCGGGTGGGGGAGCCTGAGTGGAGGCTGTGGTTCTGGGGCCTCCTCCCCCATCGGTATTGGAACACCATCAGGCTCCAGTTTGGGGAAGGTGAAGTTGTTTCTGGGCTGCCTTTTCATTCCACAGTTTTGTAAAAGTCATCTTGGCTTTTGCATCTTTAGCCAAGCAGGATTGGGGGGCTTTGGGGAAAGAGCTTTGGTTTCATGGTGGGGAGGAGAAACATTCATGTTGGGCTTGGTTTGGGGTTTGGCCCACCAGTGGGACACGAGGAATGCATCTGAATAAGTCAGGGCCGAGGGCGCTCACCTGGACGTCCGAAGGAAGCTACTGTACTCCAGGCATGGTGGAGGGTGGGGGAGAGAGAGGGAAATGAGATGTGTTAATACCATTCATGTCCCCTCCACCCTAGCTGACTTCCTTACTTCCTTAACACCCCCATCCCAAGTGAAAGGGACACCATTCCATGTTTGTTTGGTTTTTTTTTAAGGGACCAGGGTGAGCTGGACCTATGATTTCATTGGCATGGGAAATTCCATCTGCCAATGCAGACCCACCACCTAGAATCTTAGAGAATTGCCTAGGGCACAGGAAGGGTAAGTGATTTGCCCAGGGTCACACAGCCAATATGTGTGTCTTCCTTACTTGAAGGTTGTCAGGGCCATTAGGAGATGCTGCCTCTCAGTAAAAGGGACAGGGTGATTACAAGGAATAAACCAAGTCTCCTAGTGAGAGTCATCCCCTAGGATACCCTTTCCCCTCCTCTTCACTCAAACCTTCCCCTCTCAATGTTATTTCCTCACTCTCTGGGTGGCAGAGACAGCAGCAGCAGCAGCAGCAAAGGAGGGGTGGAGAGAAGACATGGAGGAGAAAAAGAGAAACTGGGTCAGGTCCTGGAGCTTGGAGACCCCTTCTCTCACTCCCCTACGTCTTCATCAAGCCCCACTTCCACCCCCCCGGGAGGCTGAGCATCTGGTGAGGAAAAGAAGGTTGGGATGGAGGCTTAACGCTGGGGATATGGAACTGTCTTGGGGCACAGTGCTGGTCCCCCTGTCACAGTCTCTCAACAAACACCGATGTGAGGATCCCCATTTTATGCAGTGGCACCTGCATTTTTCAGGTTCTTTTGGGGACCACAGTTACTGCGGCTTTAAGGTTCACAAAGCCCTGCCCGCCTACACACCTGGCCTGAGAGGCAGGTGGAGCCAGGACGCTAACCTGCTGCATGGATAGATAAGGCAGGGAGGTCCCTCCTGTGCTCACAGAGCTGGGAAGCGTCAGGGGGGACCTCTGACGTCAGGCCAGCTGTCCACTACCCCACTGATATCGACTCACCTCTTTTTCAGCAAGGAGGAAAAATCCAGGCTCCCACCATCGTCATAACCATCTGTACTGCAGAGAAAAGTCCCCCCAAGAGCCCAGCCAAGAGTGAGGCTAGAAAGCCAGTGAGGAAACGGGACTGGAAAGTTACAGAAACGGGACTGGAAAGTTACAGAAACGGGATGAGGAGACAAGCCTCCTGCTGGAGGCCTTGGGGGTTCAAGGTGGGTCCCTTGGCTAGCCGCCCAGGCCCCCTCTCCCGTCCCCAGGGTCTTAGAGGGTCTTAGGGTCTTAGAGGAGCTGCTCTGACTGGGGTTCCATCACCTCCACCCCTTCCCTGAGTCCTGGGCTGGGCAGAAGGGCTGGGGCAGGGATACCTGGTCCGACGAACGCTGCCAGGCAGGCTCCTGTAAGGACCAGGCATTAGGATCGTGAATTTGGACCTAGAAGAGACTTTAGAAACCGTCTAGGGCAACCCTTCATTTTGCTAGTGAGGACATTGAAGTAAGGTTCACCCCACTGCCCTGTGCTCCCTGCCCTGTCTGGGGGAGGTGGTACTTAGGGAACCTTCCCCACATCGCCCCGTCCCCCAATGAGGGTGCCAGGCGGCCCCCCCAGGATCCCCCTGATGAAAGGGACTGTTGGTTTCATTCCTGCCCACCTACCCCCAGCCTCAGCCCCAGCCTCAGCCTTGGACTGGCTGAGAGGTTCCCAGGGGGCAGCAGTCAGGCTTGGATGGGGACACCTGGGACGCAGCTGGGGACAGGGGGCAGGATGGGGACACTGGGGAGAGAACAGCATTCACTCACGGGCGACGAAATGCTGAGCGAAGGTCAAGGTCGGCTGGACCGATGGCCTCTTTGGAGGAGAGGGAGGGAAGAAAGAAAAGAGAAAACAGAGGCAGTGCAAAGCAGTGGTGGAGGAAGGAGCGGGGATGGGCAGAAAGCCCTCCTTTGTCTCCATCGTCCTAACATCCCACAGAGGAAATGCTAAATTGTTTTTTACTCTGACCCTGGGGGATCTCAAAGCATTTAAAGGCCCCTCTTCCCCCTCCTTCCCGCCTCCCCATCCCTGGGGAAATTTTATAGGATTCAGAGCTGGAAAGGGACTTTAGGAATCAATTAACTATGGAGCCTCAGGACTGGAAGGGATCTCAGAAGACATCTATCAACCCTCTCATTTTACAGATGAGGAAACTCAGGTGTAGAGGAACTAAGGGACGTGGTCAAGGACACAGCTAGTGTCAACCTCAATGGGCCTCAGTTTCCTCATATGTAAAATGAGAGGGTTGAATTCAATGGTCTCTAAGGATGCTTCAGCCTCTAAATTCTATGATCCTGGAACTTTTGAGAGATGACTCTGGGAGTAGCTAATAATGGCAGGATTAGAACACAGGGCTCCCAACTCCAAATCCAGGG